ACAGCACAATTCGTACACAAAGAAATTCAAAATGCTTTACGGAATAAGAAATACATTAAAATCACAATAAAAACTAATCAAAACATAAATAATTTGAATATTAAATTATATTTTATATTAAGACAGAGAGAGACATTAATTACATAAATTAGAAGAGTGTGAAATGAAAACCTTTGTCATATGCACAGTGAAACAGAACCGTTTTGAGCCTGGATTTAAAGAGAGTTACGACCCAGCTCGTTGGGGTGAGGGAAGTAACAAAAATAAGATGTGAAATGGAATAAATTAAATTATGTTTAATTAACAGGAATGTAAAGGTAAATTAACAAAAGACTAAAATATACAGAAAATAACCTAAACTAAGAAACAACAACAGAATAAACCGAGTTTTGTGCCACAAAACGGGTCACGCAGGCTTACACAAAACGAGTGGTTAACAAAGGGACACACACAAAACTAAAACACAAGTTCCCCAAATTAAACCACATAAACCCACAAACAGAATCGAGTGACCAAATCAAAAAATGCACAAAACAGAACTAAACTAAACTACACACACAAACACAAAATGGCAGAGTGGCCATCAAGGCCAGCAGCCCCGAACAGGTGCAGGCAATCTTCTTAAAAGGGGGCGGTGGCTGCAGGTGAGGTGGGCGTCGACATGCCCCACCAATCACAAACCAGGACTCCCACAGCAGGAATCAAGATGTGTCAGCAGAATAATTTAGAACACTCAAAACAAATTAGAATCTAAGGCCTGGGGCCGTAACCTAGAGTCTCACATGTTCAGACTGTTCCAGGTTTTAGCTGCTTGAACCTGAAACGCTGACTCTCCTTGTTTAGTCGTGACTCTGAGCACCAGCAGGAGGCCGGTCCCTGAGCTCCTCAGAGTGCGAGATGGTTCATGTGGCACTAACATGTCACAGATGCACTTTGGTGCTCGGCCATGGAGACACTTGTACAAGCAGAGCTGCTTTAAAGTCTCTGAGCCACAGGAAGCCAGTGCAGAGACCTTTTTTTTTTTTTTAATTACAAAAACATAACAAGACAAAACAACAAATGTATATACAGTATAGGCTGCAGATTGGATTGTTGTTACATCAATGCAAAGTCCAGTTCACACTTATGGCAGGAGTGAGGGGTGGAAAATATACATATACATTCATACACATAAACATACATAAACATACATACATTCTGCAACATGGGGGTGGTTTGCAAATTATTATACAGGGGAGCAGAAGGAATGAAACCAAAACTAAACAACAAAAAAACTAAACAAAACAGAATAATGTCATGAATTAAATAAAGCTATACTATACTTTTTATAGATATTGTAAGTTTTAACTGCTTTTTTGTTTTGGACCTGTTTTATCGTTTGAAAATATTGTTGGATTTCCATATTATACTGATGAATATTTGGTTTATTTTGAGCCCATTTGGTTTTGTGTATATGATATTTTGCCAACATAATGAGAGTCTGAATGAGCCAGTGCAGAGACTTGAGCACAGGACTTATGTGCTCGCACTTCCTGGTTCCAGTAAGGACCCGAGCTGCAGTGTTCTGGATGTTCTGCAGCGTCTCACAGCTCGTTTGGAGAGACCAGTGAACAGATCATTACAGTATCTAACCTACTGGAGACAAACACATGGATAAGTCTCTCCAAGTCTGATTTAGACAGTAAACCTTGGATTTTTGCTGATTTTAATAGGTAACAAAGTACAAAAGTAGAAGTACAATCAAATTAAATTAAGAAATTAATTGAATCACTTAAAAATTGCCATATTCTTTATCAAAATCATTACATTTCATCCTTAAATTGTTCTGAAAATCTCAGCAAAATACTTACTTTTTATTCTTTAACTACATTTTAAACAGGTTCATTCATACTTTTACTTACGTCGCTTTTCTCATGTGATACTTTTGCATGAGGAACTTTTTGCCTCTGTGTCTTAAGTAACAAAATCGGGTCCTTAATCCTCCACAGCCTGTTTGGAACGCAGCTGGCAGGTTATCTATGTTCATTTCTATAAACAGTCTCTGATGGCTCCTCTTTCCAGGCCTGGTTAAGACCCACAGCACGTAGACGCGTAGACGTGCTGCGGTCGGCTACATCTCCACACTCAAGACAACACGTGTTTCTCTGGTTCAGCACAGGAGGAATCTGATCCACACAGAAGATGACGTCTGTATGAACACAGATCTGCTCCAGTGAAAAGGGCACGAGCGTCTCTGCAATAACAACCAGCTGTGAGTGTGATTCTGTGTGCGTCTGTGTGTGTCTGTGTGTGTGTGTGTTTGTGTGTGTCTGTGTGTGTCTGTTCAAATGTTTGCAAGAACTTTTCTGTATTTTTGCATGAACTCCCATTTTAGTCGACTAATCGATTGGCAGGGCATGTTTTTAGTCAGTTTTCTCAGAGGACTACAGCTCTAGTTTAAATGTACACCTCTGAAATCGCTGTTTGGGTCAAAGACGGTGTTTACCTGGATCAGATGGCGGAGGGAGCCGAAGCGCTCTGCGTCGTGGATCTTACACTCGTGAGTCTGAAAAAGCATTTGAGAAGTTTATCATTTTTACATTTGTCACACATAAAAGAATGAATCTAACTAGAAGAAATGTTTACTTTGAGGAACCATCTGTTGTCGACCCGGCGGAAGAATGTCTTAGTCATGCGCCCCTAACTGAGCACGTGATCAGGAGGTGCACCGAAGAGTTTGATCATAATTCTCAACTGTATCAAAAGAAGCACACGTTTGTTAGACAAGACTTAAAGGTGCACTAGGTAACATTTCTGGAGGGTCCGGTACCATGGAGAAGTTATTGTTAACCCGGGTATGTATTAAACGTACACTAGCAGTCAAATGTTCGATATATTGTGAGGGCCTCCGCTATTATTGTGAGACTTTTGACGATACAATGTCACAATATGTGGGTTTTCTTTATGCCTAGAAGGGACTGGCTGGTCAGGTAACTAACCACTGCTTGACTCCAGGAAGACAGATTAATTGCCATTTTGTGGAATATTTCAGACAAAGCAATGCCATCCTCATGGAGACCATCAGGTATCAGAGCCTCCACCAGAAAAGTTACGTAGTGCACCTTTAATATGTATGTCAAATTCAAAAAGAAGAAAAAAGGGTTTTCATGATCTATGCTTGTCCGATGACTTACCGCCTCAAATTCAGTGGTGTTGGGGAATAATTTAATTCCTAACCACAGGTCGGCAAACATGGTCCCCAGGGACCACACGTCCACGGCCTCGTTCCAAGGCAAACCCAGAATGATTTCAGGGGGTCTGGAGAGGAGAGAGACATTAAGAGCAGTGGGTCAGATGAGCAAATATAGCATTTTCAAAACAATAAAAGGAAGCATGGTGATCTAAATATGTTATGTGTAAGAGGTTAAAAGCCCATAAAAGTCAAATACCCCGTCTTTAAATATCCCAAGTCCATCCCTGTATGTCCCACCACTGTATTCCCTGTTATGTTCTTTCTCTACTTTTTGAGACCTACTGTGGCACACGTGGTGGATCCTCCTGCCCAGTTTGGCCTCCTTTACGGGCCTGGCCAAACTGAAGTCAATGAGTTTCACCTGCGGGGGCCTCTGTCTGTGATCCACCACCATCACATTTCCCTGTTTAACAATGAATACAGCAGAAAATTGTTTAAAAAGCTGATAAAAGTGTAAAATAGTAACTAGTACTTTGAGTAGTATTTCATTGAAGCACAAATTTGGCATCTTGTACTCTTTAGCAGAGAACCTGTACTATTTGATCTCTGCAGCGCAATTAAAGCAAAAACATCTCCAGGGAGACAAGTAGAAAAGTTCCATAGTACACTTGAAGCTTGAGAAGTGAAAAGAAAGTTTGAACAGTGGTGATCTAAAAACAAACCTTTCAGAGCGTATGAATGAATGTTGGAGGATTTGTGAGGGAGTTATTCGATCAGACACTCCCATCTTCAACATCTGAGCGAGCAGGTCTGTGGCTCCCTCCATGTCCAGTGGCCACATCCATGCTACATCTGGAAGAATAACAATCCTGCCAAATCAGGAACACATCAGTATTTACACTGTTTACATTAGATGACCAAATATTTTATTGGAATTATGAAGATTTATATGGACCATGACCAAAGAGATTTAATGGTGTGATTTAGCAGAAGGTTTGTTAGTGAATCATACGTTCAAAGGCTCATATTACACTATTTTCTGATGTTATAATGTTGTTTCCTCATCAAAAACTAAATGTTTTGTGTCATTGTTTTTTTCTTCTTTCATTCATTCATTTTAACACACAAACTTTGCAAATTTACAATGTGTGTTTTTAAACTCCATGCACCTTCACTAGAATCATTTGGATGATTTCAGCCCTGGAATTGCCCGTCTCTACTGAGCTCAACTTGAAAACTACCGCTTCATGACATCACAATGTGGAACAGAGCATTTTGAGGACATTTGGACATGTAGGAATGAAAGAAAACACAACTTTAGGGATGTTTGTGAGGAGGAAACAACATTCCAACATGGTTTGAAATATAATATAGCACCTTGAATCTGCCTTCTCATGTATAAATACAAACATAACGGTGTGTGTGTGTGTCTGGGTGTGTGTGTGTTGGGGTGTGTCTTTGTGTGTGTCTGTGTGTGTGCGTGTGTGTGTGCCTGCGTGTAGGGGTGTGTGTGTGGAGAAACGACCCTTTTAGTTCAATTATGATCAATAGAATAAATAATAAATGACCTATTTTTCCTAAACTGGTGATTTAAGATGTCCTTTTAGCTAGATCAGTATTTATAGAACAAATAACAAAAAAAGATATATTTTTCCTAAACTGGTAATTCATTAATAAATTATTCATAAAATGTGTCTCTGTCTCTTTTTCACTGCATCCTTTATACACTGAACCTTTAAGTTAAACCACAGTCACAATGAGACAAGCAACAACAAATGGTCTAAAAACAGATTTTATTTTCTAATTGTAAAACTAATTGGAACAGGGAACAGGCAAGTGCAGTCAAACAAGACTAAACAAAACAAAAACAAAACTAAATGCACAAAGTTAAAAACAGTGCGTTTAATGAACTCTCATGTGTTTATTGAGATTGTATGATTGAGAGAAACATTTCCCACATTGGTCACATCTGTACGGTTTCTCTCCAGTGTGGATTCTCATATGACGATGGAGGCCACTAGGAGTCTCTAAATTGGATCCCACACTGGTCACACTGGTACGGTTTCTCTCCAGTGTGGATTCTCATATGTGATTTTAGGTGGCCTGACTGTGAAAGTGTCTTCTCACAAGCGTCACATTCAAGTGGCTTCTCTCCTGTGTGGATTCTCATATGTAGATGGAGATCACCAGATTGTTTGAATCCCGTCTCACACTGGTCACACTCGTACGGTCTTTCTCCTGTGTGACTTGTGTAGTGTCTTTTCAGTTTGTAAGCATTTGACCACACTTTTCCACACTGGTCACATGTGAAGGACATTCTGCTGGTGGATCCTGTAGCTCTGCATCAGAACAAAGGAAATAAAGTGTCAAGTAAAATCACTTTTTAAACTGTTCAAATAAAGTAACTCTCACTAAATACACCTAAAATCACACATAGTAAATCATATGTAAGAATGTTTCAGTGTTTTACAAGAAAGTTCCATTTGGCTGAATGAATGAACTAAGTTTGTATTTGATTTTAAAGTCACACATTTTCTGTCTGTAGCAAAAGATCAAATGAAGGAAACATAAATAGAGACATTGAACAACATATTCCATTCAGTCCTTGTATTTGCAGAGGTCACTGGTGTTAGACTAGTGCATGTCAATGGTCATAATTATCCTGACACTAAAAACAGTCTTACCCACTCCACAAAACACCCGAAGAAAATCTATTATTACACCAGACTGTCCATGTGAATGTCTATGTTGATAGAATAATTTTAGAAGTAAAACAAACCTTGTATGGCATGAATCGTCGTGTGTTGAGGGACTATTTTCTCAGCGGCAGTGGAGTTTTACTCTGCTCTAGTTAGTTGCGATAATATGAACGTGGCCATATCTGGAACAGGCTCCTTCCTGTGCTCTATGTGTCGCTATGGCAACGGCAGGTAAACAAACTATTACAGAGCCGGTAAGATAGGTGCTTGGTGATATCAGTCCGCCGCTGCCGAGCTTTCTATCAGGAAGTACAACTCACTGCTGCTGCTGCTCACACATAAATCCTTCAAATGCAAAGTTGGTTTTACTTTTAAAATTATTCTATCGACACAGACATTAAAATGGACAGTCTGGTGTAATAACAGATTTGTATGCACTAGTCTAGCACCAGTGACCTCTGCAAATACAAGGATGGGATGGAATATTTTAAGAAGAGTCTCCAGACGTCTCAAACACTCTGGTTCACTAGGAAATGAGATCCTATGTCCAAATTTCTGACCTGTCCCTTTAAACAATACTGGTCTGTTGGTGGTTTTCAGATTCCACAACGTGACGATGTCATTCTCCCAGACGAGGGCCAAGAGACACTTTTCCCTATGGATTACAATGTACTTTGTCATGAAATATCCAAAATGTAAATTCACAAACCTTGAACCTGATCATTTTTATTAGTAATTGGAAGTAAGATTTCACTGTATTGCAATTAAGGCTGGGTATTATTCTGAAGTTGCCGATACGATACATACATCGATACATAGGCCACGATACGATACATATCTCGATACAGTGAACTTTCGATTCGATGTGATATATTTCAAATCGGTTCAGTATGGTTCAATCAGCAATAATCGCTAGATCATGGCTGAGATACTAAAAGTCTTTGTTAAACCACTTCTTGTGCAAAGTTCATATGAAATACACCAATTTTAATCATCAAAACAGTGAAAATGTCAAAATGTGTTGCATAAAAAAAGTTTCCTTCCTCTGAATAAGCAACAAAACTGCAGCACTGTAACAAAATAATTGAGTAAAATATACCAAAAAATACTCTTGGTGATATATCGATACAGCAGCCCATGACATCGATACTGTATCATCACATTAAACGATACGATATATCGATATTTCAATATTTTTGCACACCCCTAATTGCAATACGAATCTGCATTTCAGCAATATTAATTTTTACTTCTCCCAGTTGTTCTTAGATATTAATGAAATATATAATGTATATGTAATATCATCTGAAACCACCTATGGAACCTGATCATTTCTATTATTGACTAGACCCAAGACCATACTGTATTACAACACAAATCTGCAGTTGAACAATATTCATTTGAGCTGCCCCCAACCTATGCAGTGTACGGATGCCATCTGAAACCCAGCAATAAGCCTGACAAAACTGTTTGCATAGTAGACAGAAATCAATTATTTTGGTTCTTACTTAGTGTAGAAAAAAAGGTTTATTATTGAAACACAGGCTAATTATGATGCAACAGACACACTTAAGTCTATGGTAACAATGAGCCTGTATTGTGTTTGAAGTGGATTGGCTGTGGAGCTGCAGACTCCCTGGGTCGCTGCTTAAAGAGTAAGCCTGGATTTTAAATGACATTTCTCTTTTTAGCCCTGAGAGGTGCCCGGCTTCCAACTGAGAAGATTAACTTTAGACTTCACCCAGCGTCAACTTATAAATGATCCTTCCTCCAAGCTACAGGGAGGAGAGGGAGAGTGAATATATGGTGCAGAGAAGTGATAGAGAAGTGAATATATGGTACAGAGGAGCAGTGTTGGGAAGGTGACTTTTAAAATGTATTCCCCTACAGATTACAGATTACATACACCAAAATGTAGTTTGTAACATAATACATTAAATTACTTAAAGTGAGTAACGTGATCTGAATACTTTGGATTACTTGATATTGTCGTGCTTTTTAAAACTACATGAATGTACCCACCACAACCTGAAAATTCTTGTTTGTTCTCTTCAAACTGGCTGAGCCCAAGTCTCATGAACAGACTTTTGTTTACTGTAAAGTATCAAAGACCAGGATCTTAACATAAGATATTTTGTCTGATAAAAGAAAATAAAAAGTTCAGTCTTTCCTTAACCAGATTAAAAATATTATTGATAGAGAAATGATTTTTATATGAGATCACTGCTGCTTTAAATTATGTCCACCTACTGTTAGTGTCATATTGTTTAGACCTGGTTTAGACCAGATTTTGGTCCTGATTTAGTCCTGGTTTAGTCTTGGTTTAGACCTGGTTTTAGACCAGATTTAGTCCTGATTTAGTCCTGGTTTTAGACCTGGTTTAGACCTGGTTTTAGACCTGGTTTTAGACCTGGTTTAGACCTGGTTTTAGACCTGGTTTTAGACCTGGTTTAGACCTGTTTAGTCCTGGTTTTAGTTCTGATTTAGCCCAAAATGTGAAAACAGGTAAATACCGCAGTGTAATCCATTTATTTCAACAAAGTAACTGTAATCTAATTACCTCTCATTGAAATAGTAACTACAACTGAATACAGTTACTTATAATTTGTACTCTGATTACGTTACTCCCCAACACTGCAGAGGAGAGAATGTACCATATATTCCCTCTCCACTCCTCTGTTTTCACAGAGGTTCTCAACTGGTTTGCCTCTATCCAGCCTCACATTTGACAGTGTAGTTTTATGTGTTTTAGCATGTTAGTAAGTGTGTGTGTGTGTCTGGGTTGTTTGGGTGTGTGGGTTCAGGCAGCTGCAGTGTTGTGGAGTAACAATAAGTAAGTAAAGACTGGGATTTTTATTTTCTTTTAACAGACAAAACATCTTATGTGAAGATTTCCTAGTCTTTGCTTTTCTACAGCAAATCAAGTAATCCAAAGTATTCAGATTACGTTACTCACTTTAGGTAATTTAATGGATTATGCTGTAAACTACATTCTGGTGTATGTAATCTGTAATCTGTAGGGGAATTCATTTTAAAAGTCACCTTCCCAACACTGTATATACGGTACTAAATATCTTGTGACTGCTAAAACTAGTAGCATTTTTGTTTTGCAAAGGTAAACACCAGAGGAAAAAGTTTGGAGACTCCTGATGTAAAGGATGCAGAGACGAAGCGACACTAAAAGTCAAAAATTCAGACACACCATCTAATTTAGTACTTGTTCATTTTTTCTCTATTTTTACTGCTTTCTACATTTTACATACACGTGGAAAACATCAAATATATGAAGCAAGATATTATGGAATTTTGTAAAAAGAAAAAAATTAAAGGTGCATTGTGTGACTTTTCTGGTAGAGGGTTCTTAAAGTGCTTTTCTCCACGGAGATGTTATTGCTTCGTCTGGAATGTTTCACAGTATGGCATTAAGCCTTTCCATCTTCATGGAGACCAAACCAGACCACGTTACAAGTCAGATCTGCGGAGAGGCGACCCTGCTCAGTCAGAATGCCTGTTTTTCTAAGCATTTTTAAGCTGTAGAACCACCTGGAATTGAATGAAGTAGAGCGGTTTAATGTCATACTGTGGAATATTCCAGGCAGAGCAATTAGGGACCATCATAGTAACAAGCAGAATGAAAAAGTTACACAGTGCACCTTTAAATAACTACAAAATGTAGAATGTAGTAGACAGAAATAAAAAACAAAACACTGAGATGGTGCGTCCAAACATTTGACTGATCATATACACACAAACCAATACTGCAAATTAAGCATTCAGTCTAGTTATTATTTAAAAAACTATAAAATTGTAGAAGAAAAGACCACGTTTAAAACAGTAAAACACTTTAATTTAGTTCTTTCGTCAGCAGGTGAGCTCATTTAAACACGGTGACAAATGAAGTGCATCGGTAAAAGAAGCTGAACGACAAAATTTGAAAAAAACAAAACAGAAGCATATTTTTTGAGACACGCTCCAGTCAAACGCATCATTCACGGAACCACAAACAATTAAACAAGCACATATTTTCTCTGATAAAAAGCACTGCAGCTCAGCATTGACCTGGTAGAATAAAAAGACCCTTTCTAGATACATAGGGGTGGCAGCAATACACAGGATTGCCCAAGCAGTTAAGTTACACGTTCCTTTAAGAAACAGGAGACTGAACGCGAAAACAAAAAACTATTCTCTGGGTTCTTATGCCCCATTTCAAGTAGTATTTACCCTTTTTTTATGTTTTAAATTTGTTTTAAAACAAGTTCAGCAAAAGTTAACAAAAAAAAAAAAAAAAAAGACAAATGTTCCGGTAATTCATGTGTAGGAAGAGAAAAAAAAAAAAGGGGGGGAGAAAAATTAAAATAAAAAGACATTCAAAACATGGTGAAGGAGGAAGAGGGGGACAGGAGGGAAAATATCAGCCATCTTGGAGAGACCACACGCGGCTATGCTCACCGCGAACTAAAACACTTCTATGGTTTAAACGGGGAGCGACAAATAGGAGATAAGTTAGTTAGTCAAGCCCAAATTCAGACTCAAATATTACTACTGTTACTGCAGGGACCAGTTCGATTTTAGGTTTAGTTGAGCCTCATCTTTGCAATACGGGAAGAGTAAGTGGAATTGTGAAAGTCAAGATTAGTTAGGCCCAAACTTGGACTCAAAACCTAGTTAACAGTTCAGTGGGAAGTGTTACAAGTCCAATTATTAGCCTGGTTTTAAAAGGACCACTGAATATACGAACATCAGGTTAAGTTGAGCCTGCTCTAGGTACAGATGGAGTTATGAAGTCTAGTTTAATTAAGCCCAAATTCAAGGTAAATTTGCTTTTTCCTGAGTTACTGACCAAACGTACCAATAAACATTTTGTAGCTGAAAACTGAAAAATGAGAACACACAAATTCCTTCTGTTACTCGTTCAATCTAACTCAATTGTTGTTGCAAGTTAGTAATAAGAGGAAGATATGACGTCTGGTTTAGTTAAGTCCAATCTCAAGAATAGGCTTTCTTTTGTCTATTAACACTTTAGTTACAAAAGAGGGAAACGTACCGCTGGGTTTTGTTCAGCTCCAACGTAGACTAACTTGAGCCTGACTGTAGTTGTGTACATGTTATGGAGAGTCGGGTTTAGTTAATCCCAACCTTTGAGTCATGAAAAGAGACAAATATTTGGTTTAGTTAAGTTCAAACTCAAGAATAGGTTTTCTTTAGTCACACTTTGTCTGGTTGTAAAGGAGGAGATAATCTTGGGTTTACTTGAGCTCAAACCTTAACTTTAATTTGAGTCAGATTGCAGCCATGAATATGATGTGAAGTCTGGTTTAGTTAATCCTACACAAATCAAAAATTTGGTTTAGTTGAGTGAAAACTTAAACTCAAGATTAGGCTTTCTTTTGAGTCCAGCTGTAGATGACACTTGTCTGGATGTAGAGGAGGGATAGGAAGATATTTGTTGGGTTTATTTGAGCTCAGACCTAAACTCAGGTTGACTTTATCTTGAGTTCTTTATAGAGTCCACATTAAATACTTTATAGTGAAAAAGGAGGAGTTGTGAAGTCTGTTTTAGTTAATCCTCAACCCAGACTCATTATTACCCCTGAAAAGCTCCTATAGTTGTAAAAAAAAAAAAAAAAAAAAGACAAAAGATTTGGTTTAGTTTAGTTCCAACTCAAGATTAGGATTTCTTTTGAGTTTGAGTTGTTAACACATTGTCTGGTGAGGGATAGAAGAAGCTGGGTTTAAATCAACTCAAACCTTGTCTTAATTGTAGCTGAGAACATGTTATGAGATACAGGAGTAGTTGTGAAGTTAATCTCAAACCTGGATAAAGATTTGGTTTAATTAAGTCCAGACTTAAACTCAAAAACAGGCTTAACACTTGTCTGGTTGTAGAGGAGAGATAGGAGATAGGTTGGGTTTAGTTAAGCTCAAACCTAGACTCAGGTTGACTTTAGTAGAGTCTGATTGTAGCAGTGAACACTTTATGGAGAAAGAGGAGGAGATGTGAAGTCTGGTTTAGTTAATCCCAAACTCCCTGGCCCCTCTTGTCACTCTTGGCTTTAGTTTGAGTCCAATCGTAGCAGTGAAGTAACTAAAACTCTAGGTGGCGCTGTTTGTTCACTGTCGCTGAGCGGAGTAGCGGCCGTCGTTGGGACCAGCCCCTCGCCCTGTGCCGAAGCTGGGTTTTGGAGCCATGCCGCCCCTGGAGCCTGGGGGGCCTCTGGGACCTCCTCCGATCCTGGGACCCCCCGGACCGCCAGCGCCACGGGGTCGGAGATCGCGCCGCTCGCCCTCCCTCACCGAGCGAGTCTTCTTCTCCTCCACGTTCAGACGCACATCGTTACGGAATTTAATGGGCTGAAAAAGAAGGAATTAGGTCAGGATCATGGTGGTGTGACATTTATAAAGCAATTCTTTACCTATTAATGAAATGTGTTAAGGATAAAAAAATAATAATAATCTTGTAGCGTTGTCAATTGCAGCCCTTCTTGGAATGACTGTTTTACGCACTTATGCTCTTTAAAACACTTTTACTGAGTGTTGCAAATCATACCTGAAGCAAAGTTATTTAGATTTGTGAAAACTTAAGTGAATAATTTAAATAGGAATATTTAGCAAAGGGTTGACCAAGCAACCACATTTTTATTCTATAATATGGTTCATCTCACACTAAAACCTTTGCTACATAGGTTATGATAGAGCAGGTTTTCTAAACATGCTCTAAATGGTACTAATGTCTATTTGGGCTGATCTATCAGGAAGTCACAGAGCAAACTAAAATTTGTCTGATGGACACATGGTCATAGTTTAGACATGCCAACGCTTTAATTAGGAGAATGGATCAACTCCATTTGTCTTTCCTGTTCATTTCAATGACATTTTGATCATATCCAATTGGCACAGCTCTTTGTGGTAGATTTCTATATTTTCCCCACAGCCCGTCTGCTCAGTACAAGTATGAAGTTGTTCCTGTTCTCACCCTGTTATTGAGGATCTTCTGCACTGGCTCTGCATCATCAAACACCACAAACCCAAAGTTTGGCAGCTTCCCTCCACTGTTAATCCTGAGCTCCAGCACTGTACCATAGTCTGAGGAGGAGAGGAGACAGAGGAGATGTTTAGGTCACAGTTTATAACATGTTTTTTAAAGACAGTTTAATAAAATAGTTCTTACGCTCAAAGAACTCCTTGAGCTCGGCCTTCTCCACGTCATGAGGCACGTTCCCCACAAACAGTTGATGGGCGTCTGGATACCGCATGGTCCTCCTCCCCTCGCCCTCCCCCGGCTCCCCCTCCCGACCTGAAACAAGCAACAATACATGAATATAAATAAACTTCATAGAAATATTAGACATAATTGATGTTATGTGAAGTGTTATGAGAGGGATACTGGAGGACGGCAGGGCATCTGACACACTGGTATGGTTCTCACCTGGTCTGGGTCTGTGCACAGGTGGCGCTCCTCCAGGCCTCTGCTCTCTGGGTCTCTGGTCTCTCTGAGGTCTCTGTGCTGTGGTCTGAGACTCCGACTTCACCTCCACTCTGGGCTACAGGGGAAATATAAATGTTCTTTTAGACCAAGTGTGAACATTATTTTAAACTGAATTTGAGGTGGCATTTAAGACCCGGCAGCAGTTGTGGCACAGAAATAATTCTCATAATGGAATAAAAAGTTCACAGTAAACATGCACTGCGATCTGTGCCACAGATGAACTGTTAAAAGTTCCCCGTATTCTTTGTTTTATTGTTTGTGGTCAGTCTTACCTGTGTTGTGGGTGGGACTTTGACGACATGTGGGAGAGATCCTGAGACTGGAACAGCGCCACTCGGAGGAAGGTTTTTACTGGTCACTGACGCCCATGAGAAAGGCTGAAAGAGAGGGAGGAAAAGGTGGTCAATTTAACAGAATAGCTTTGCACTGTATCTCACATAAGCACTTGTCAACAATGTGTGTATGATGCAAGTAAAGCAGCCATGTTAACTAAAACCTATAAGTCTGAATTTTGCATCATAATCTCCTAATTAAATAAATGTTAAATACAATTCCACTAGTCCAAACTTCGCTTTGATATCACTCACATCTGTCGGAGTGGTTTTCATTCATCAACCCCACCTCAGTGTTTCATATTTTGAGATTGGTTTTGTGGTTAATCCAAGTTTCTACATTGCAATCACTTTATGTTCCAATTTACTTTTGCCTCCAGTTGTCTCCATTCTGAAATTTAAATTTTGTTTCCAAACTTTGAAAAGGGTCTAAAGAAACTAAGCAGCCTACTTACAATGTAGTTTTGCTCATCCCTAGCTTGATTATTTAAAATGCACACAATGTGAAAAGATGCAAATGGTTCAGGAACTTGTGTGGGAGGACAAAAGGCAGCAATGGAAATAAGCCCAAGAACACTACGCAAGAACGTTTCCTTTCTCTGTAGTTCTGTTCATAGCTCCTTACCCTGTTCTCCTCGGGTGCGGTTGTGGAGGGTTCGGTGGTTGTGGACTCGGTGGGGGTGGCTGTGGGGGCGGGGCTTTTCTCCGTCTCATCTGCAGAGAGAGCGTCTGTCTGTGTGTCCAGCGCCTCGATCTTCACCTCCTCAGACGGTTCCTCCTCCTTCTCCTCCTCCGGCTCAGGTTCTGGGCTCACGGCCACACCCTCATCCTCCTCTCCAGGGCCAACAGGCTCGGAGCTGAAGAGGGACAGATAATCTGGAGTCTATCAAATTGTCTACTGTCAAAAACTGTTACACCAGTGACTCTAAACCATAATATAAAGATTTATCTAAAATAAGCTGCAGTGCCAATTATGTAAAATTGGAAAGCCTATTTTTTACTTTTAATATCTGTTATAGCAGTATAGTGCAGTTTCAAAGAATGAATGGATGAAGATGGCTGTAAGATAGCAGCAGAAACATGTCAACAAAGTAATTCAATCTCTTACCTTATCATTATAAAACCAACCTAACATAAGATTGTGAATATAAAATAGATAAAATGACTGTCTGAACAAAAAGCCTGTATGTACTTAACACAGTTCGGATTTTTGACTCAGTTCGTACCATGGGTTTTGGTCGTAGTACTGAGCAGAGTCTTCGCCGGTGGTGTCTGGAGATGGGACCCTCTCCTCCAGCTCCTCCACCTCATCCTCAGACTCTGAAAAAAAAAACAAGAGAATCATTACTGACACCTGCTGTGAAAAAGGAATTACTGCATCATACTATCATAAACTGACAAAGTATGAATGAATAATGAAACTAGTTTCTGGCTACAGAGAATTTAACTGTTGACAAAGAAGACCCGGAACTATTCTCCCATGTGGACAGGCACCATAGTTGTAAATCAATAAACCGGTCAAACATTTGCTTTTCGGCAGTTGGAATTCAAATACTGCCATAAAATTCTCTATTGTCCACTATCCCAGTTTTAGTCTTTACTTAAGTTAGAAACGTAATCTACTGTATTTTTAATCACCTGGGGGACAATAGTCTATAGTTGAGTCTATATATTAGTCTATAGGTTAACACTCTGGTACCAATTCAGGGTTGGATAAAACTTAAGAATGTTAGCACTTTCTCTCTTTAAATTTAAGTTCTTATGTAAACAAAAATATTTTTTATGTCAAAACAAACTTTTTGATACATTTCTCTGCAATATTAGCGTTTCACCGACATGACATCTGATGTTTTACCAAATGACGGTTCAAGTGAAATACAAAAAAAATAAAAAAATTCCTATCTTTTCAAATGAACTTGATAAAAACTCACTCAAATGGCCAAATGGCATCTATCAAACCTAATTTCCTTCATTTATGTGATTATTTTACATTTAAAATGAAAATGATTGCTTTAATATAGTAGCATATATAGTTATACTTGTATAGTAAATAATACAAATAAAATTGTAAAACATGCAGATATTTTTGAGTTAAATTCTTAATGTCACCTACAACAGTCACAGGTTTGTTTCACTGAAATGATGAATTCCATTTCACGGAATGTCACTTTTCATACATTTTCATTCTAAACAGGTTTATACTAAATCCATCAAAGAGAAACAAAAGCAGCAGTGTTGACTGCTCACACTAAGCACTGATTTCAATTTGGTATTTAGAAAATTATACCATTTTTACACACATTTTGAACATCAAGTGTGCAGTTTATTTTATATTTACAAGTCTGTATTTTAGTCTGCAGTCTAACCCCAGCTCCTCCAGCTCCTCTCACCTTCTGGGGGCTCAGAGTCAGAATCGGCGAACACTTCATCTTGGTAACGGAACACGTCATTGTGAACATAGAATTTGTTTGCCACGGTCCCCTAGGAGAAAAAACAGAAGTTAAATTTTTTTTTTTTAAATCTCAAAAAAAAGCTAGATTCTGTTTACAGTGCTTAATTCATATAATTTATCATTTAAGTACTGGGTACAATACAGGGTTTTAGAAAGAGCTGATCATTAAAACTGTGGGGGATGGTTTGTTCTTTGCAAAGTGTTACATTCTCCAGTTAATTGCAGCATTCTCCATTTGATTATCTTGTTCATACTAATTACAATTTAACTGACCACTCTGGTTGCTCTACCAACATTTATAACTGTAGCAACAAAATGTTGTATAGAGTTTGAAAAAACTTAAATAATGGTCAATAGTAGCATTATGCATTTGATCAATTACAATTACTTTTTATTGCTAAAATCCATTTTGAAAAAAATTATTGGAAGTAAGGCTGTCACTCTACAGTCCTAACATGTAAACTGGCTTGGAGGGGCAAACCGTTTGTCTACATGGAGATGAATGTTTAATGCTTTATTGTGGAGGATTTAGGGCAAAACAACATCTCCATGGAGTTAATTAATCAAGAGATCCTTCCCGAGAACACTTATGTTACATTAATTCAACTATTTCTGATCAAATGGTTTTTACAACCTCTTTAGATAAATCCAGTTCTGTTTTTTAAAAAGGGACACAGTGATAAGAATATAAACCCAGTCAGCTCACCTCTGGGGCAAGCACAAACGTCTGCATGAACTTCCTCATTGGCTGCATGTTGTTGGAGAGCTCTCCCATCACCTGCACTACCACACCCTCGCTCAAGGTGGCGTGAGCGTCCACGTGTCTGATCTTAGTGTGACAGTCCCTGAAGCTCAGAGCCATCACGCGCTTATGGATCTCCTGCAAACAACAAAATCATTCATATCAAATTCATGAAGACAGTAGAACATCTATACATCTATAACCTTATCCAGAGTGGTTAGATTTACTTAAAGGTGCACTGTGTAACTTTTTGGTTAGGGGGGTCGTCACATGCTTGTTTCTATGTATGCGCCACTGCTCTGCCTGGAACGTTCCACAGTATGACATTAAATCTTAATCTCTACTTTACATTTATTCAATTACAGGTGGGTTTATATCTCAAAAGTACAGAGAAAACCAGACATTCTGACTGTGAGCGGAATCGCCTCCCCATAGATTTGACCTGTAACTTGGTCTGGTTTGATCTCCATGAAAATTAATAGCTAGAAAAGTTTAATGCCATACTGTGATCAAAATTTAAAATTTCAGATGGAGAGCAAGAGCCTATATAACTATGGGGGCTTCATTGATATTGAAGGAAATCTCCAAACTTCTGACCCACAAATGCTGAACCTTCTCATCCCTTTTGTTTGGGATTGGCTCCACAAACTGTATTTATACTGACAGAAGACGGTGAACTTTGTGCCAGTTTTTGTTTCATGTGGATAGGCCCAGTAACAACGGAGATATGAACCATAAGCCATGTCAAATAATCTGCAATCTGACAGTTCCACGATAGAATGCCTGTCCTTCAGCTCACATAAGCACACCCAAAGTGAAATAAAATGCAAATATTTAAAGAATAAGACTGAGGATTTGTTTTAAAAAATATGGGACAACAATTCAGACATGTTTAACTTTCTTGTCTCAAACAGAAAACACTCTATTCGACCTTGTGATGTCAATATGGTGATACAGGAAGAATCATTTGGATCATTTCAGGTCTTGAATTACCAAACAGTACTGAACTAAAAGAAACGGTAGACCTTCATGACATCACAAGGTGGGATAGAATATTTTGAGCTTTGGAGATGTAGACACACTAATAAAAAAGAATTACTCAAACATGTGTGAATGAAAACAACTCGAGGTTTGTTTTTGATGAGGTAACCACAATATAACAGCTTAAACCTCACGGGAGTCAGTTTTGTGTAATATAGGACCTTTAAGAATAAGACTGAGGATTCGTTTTCACATACGGGACAACAATCCACAATGCCTCTCTTGTATCAGACAGTTTTATGAGTATTTTGGGTTAAACGCCAGATCTTAACTTTATATTGGATCACGCACATGATAGCTCAAGTCCAGGAATGTGCTTCAGCAGATTCAGATATAAAAAAGGGTTGGCCCATAAACCACAAGATAAGACTTCTTTATTATTGTCAGTGTTTACTTTAAGCACTTGCTCCACTCCGCACAATCTGTTACATGATCACATTTTTTATTTAGCTATAGTGCTTAAATACTTTTATAGTTGTTATAAAATATACACCCATCTAAGACAAATTGTTTCTTTAATTCAAACTGATTTCAGTTCACAGACTTCTAGATTGGTAGTGCTTTTTCTTTTCATAGTGAGCAAAATTTGTCCACTCTAGATATATTGTACAAGCTGTATGAAGTCTGCATCTAATTATAATAATTTTTAATGTCAGGGAATCAGAAAGGGCACAGTTAACAGTCCTGGCAAAACTGTACTGTATGTATTAAATTCCTAAAAACTCTATTTTTAACAGAACTAAATCAACAAAACATGTCTAGTTTTGTGATTCTCTTGATTACAATCTATCAGAAATGTGCTGCAACGAGTCTGAAAATGCGACGACTGAGGTTCAAAATATTGCCCAAAAGTAAATGGGCCTTAGAACAATTAATATGTAGAAATGTCCTTTTATATACCATTTTTTCCATCTGCTTTTTTTATGTTTTTATAATCATTACAGGCAATATTTAATTCTCAATACTATCCCAAATACCAATTTCACCACACCTTATTTACATTGATTTCCCAGGTTATAAAATGGATAACAGAAGTTGAAGTGCCCATTTTTGCAACCTCTCCACTCCTACTGTTCATGTTTGAGAGCTCATTTGTCTCCATGTCCTGCCGTGTGGAGTGTGGAGGCAGTCTGAGTGTCCCTTTTTTTAAAACAGTGACAGATATAAAACTCACAGCCTGTCCATACACAGCCTCCAGGGGTTTGCCGTTACTGTCCAGGCCTCCATGAACGTAGGATGAGTTCTTCCCATAAAACCTGAGGAAACAGAACATGTACGCTGTAAAAATATAAATTAAACAAACTGCATGTAAATGTAGCGAGGGATGAAATGCAAAGTACGTCAGACAACTCCCGTCAAGTTCAAATGCAGGTCAAAGAAATGATTAGGTGCATATAAGGGGCCATGAGACATTCAGGGACATGAAGTAATCTAGCTCTAAACTTCGCAGCTATAATTACCGTATTTTTTGGACTATAAGTCGCGCTTTTTTTTCATGGTTTGGGTGATCTTGCGACTTATTCCGTATTTTCCGCACTATTAGGCGCTCTGGATTATAAGGCGCACTGTCGTAGAATGGTCTATTTTCGAACTCTTTTCACAAATAAACCGCACTGGACTTTAAATGAAACACAACAGTTGGATGGGTCAGTGGGACTTTGTCGCGTTCACGGTGACTCTGGGCTTTGTTCAGTTGTGGCGTGTAGGGAGGGTGCTGTCTGGGACCGCTGGATTGTCGGCGTGTTCGCAGTGATTCAGTTGTTCAGTTTGTGTCTAGAAGTGGCACATTGCATTCGCTTTTTCGGTTCGTTCCTCCGTTCCGTTCCTCGTTGGCGTGGAGTGATGAGTGTGGCTGTGGGGGACTTCGCGGCGCGGTCCCTGTCTGCTCCGTGCATATTTGCGTGCGGTGCAGCTTTGTAGTTTACTGAAGTTGTGCTGGGACACCCGAGTAGATTCGTGTATAAGGCGCTCTGGATTGTGGGGCGCGCAATAGTTTTTTGATGAGGTCGGAGGCGTAAGAGCGCGCCTAATAGCCTGGAAAATACGATATGTGTTTTTTTCTTCTTCAATGCGCATTTTTTGGCTGGTGCGACTTATAGTCCGGAAAATACGGTATTAATAAAACAGCTGACAAATGTGTAATAGTTTTATAATAAGTGATTTGAATCAGACAGTTTTCTTGGCCTGCATGAAAACATAGTAATTGAACAGTGGAGAAAATTCAAGATTTCTAAAATGTTGCTATAGCTATACAAAAAGTGTGAACAGGTGCAGGTCTGATAACAGTGGGGTTACTTGTGCAGGTGTAATCAAGTGGGCGTGGTTACTTGTGCAGGTGTAATCAAGTGGGCGTGGTTACTTGTGCAGGTGTAAACAAGTGGGCGTGGTTACTTGTGCAGGTGTAATCAAGTGGGCGTGGTTACCTGTGCAGGTGTAAACAAGTGGGCGTGGTTACCTGTGCAGGTAGTCTGGGGCCTGGTTGAGCAGTGTGTAATACTGTCGGACAAACTCTCGCCCGACCAGCTGGGCACTTGGCTTCTCCATCACCATCGCTTTGGTCGACTGAAAATATCTGAAAACAAAAACAGGAAGAAACACTGGGGATAAATACAAATGTAAAGTTTGTCCTCGTATCAGCATCACTACAGCCCCACTGGCAGCCATCTTCACTTTGCAGGGTTGGGCAAATAATAATTGAATAGACTTTTAAATAACTGAATAGACAATGTTGACAATCATTTCTAATGGTGCGTAACAAATAGTTGGAACAGTGGTGGAACAAATAGTTTCTAGATTAATACTGTTTCCGTACAATTTGTTAAGTTTAAATGTCACTTATTGCCTGTATTCCATGTTTAAAGGTGCATTCTGTAAGTTTTCTGCTGGAGGGTCCATCACCTGCTTGTTTCTATGGATATGCAATTTTTCTGCCTGGAATGTTCCAGTTTATCAGCTCTACCTACCTTACATTTATTGAATTACAGATGGTTTAAATGCTCAAAAATAACAACAAAAACAGGCATTCTGACTGAGCAGGACTGAGCAGGACTGAGCAGGTCGCCTCTCCACAGATCTGACCTGTAACTCGGCCTGGTTTTGTCTCCTCAATGATCGAAAGGTTTAATGCCATACTTTAAGCAGTACTTTTGAAACATGTAGTAACTTTTTTTTAATGTTAACAATAACACAAGGAGCAACAAAGTGAGATTTTGCCACCAGAGTCTCTTCTATTAATTGGAAACTGTAAATGTTCCACAAAATCAATACTGTTACCTCCTCAAAAACAGACCTGGAGGAGCTTAAGGAACCCTTTATTATTAGTCTGTCTACATCTCCAAAGCTTCAGATGCTCTGATCCACCCACCAGTTTTCAAATTAAGTTACCTTTTACCTTTTAGTTCAGCACAGATTGGCAATTCCAGTGCTGATGTACGTTTTTGAAGAGGAAACATGATAACAGAAGAGAAAATTGTGTAGTATGGGCCCTTCAATTTTCAGATCTATAGTCTGAAGTTCCCCCTCAGTTTTGTTTTCTGTCTCTCATTCAAAATATCTCAGTCTGATAGAATCTGCCGGAGGAGGATTCCTGTAGGTTTTTGTGTGTGTCATAAAAACACAGGTTTCGGCTTGTTCTTCAGACGCCATGACGGTTCTGTGAGGGCCGTGTGCAGGGACGGAGCTGGTTGTGACGTGATTGGACCAAAGTCAGGTGCAAAAAAATGTGGTGATAGATGAAGAAATCAAAATTCAAATAGTAACAGCTTTTCTATATTTGACTGTGTATATTGTTATTTAATATTAGTTTATATTAACAGTAAGCTTGGATTGTCTCCCACTATCAGATATCCAATTTGTTTTAACAAAGTACAAAACATTATGAGAGACAGTTGTTTTATTACTTTTAATTGAATTTAATCTAAATTAAGGCTGAATGTTTTGAGAAAAAGATCTGATAATTCTGACGAGCACTGCGAATAGTTTTGAGAATCATGTTTTAATAATTGGATTTTTACATTTTAAAAAACTTGCAGAAGAAGTGATGTAGAAAAAATAATAAAATAATGCTGAAAATCTGTAGGAGCTAGGGATGCACTGATATCCAAATCTCTCGATACGGTATTTTCATTAGACAATATTAGATATTTGTTGTAATATTTGATGGAAGCTAACAAAATCCAAATAATTAAGACTCAAAAGTGCTTAACAACAGTTATTTCATCATGTAGTAGATTGGGACTGAACCAGAGCAAAGGATTGTGGTATATGTAATCTCTCCGTACTCTCCGCTTTTGCACCATAACAATGAATTTAAGCAAACAAATGTGTAATTGGATATACTGTGAAGGCCAACAGTATTATTGAGACTTTTGACGAAACAATATCGCGACATTTGGGGTATTGTTACATCCCTGGTTGTATTTCTAGGTAGGGCTACAACTAATGATTATTTTTTATTCAACCATCTGATGATGGAAATCAGCTGGAAAGTCCCCCATAATTGTACCCTATATGAAACCAAGTTAGTTAATCTATATACATATAGATTTTAAAAACAATATTTTGGAGTGAGTGCCACAACTATTTCAGGATTTTATCTTACACATTTCAATGAAATAAAGTGATTCTGATTGATTTTTGAACAAATTCAGAAGCTTTCTAAGTTTCTTGTGTTGCACTGCTTACAAATTATATTTATGGCAAAGCAGGTAAGGAAATAATTAATATTTCTTCCCAAATCAACAGTGACAGATGCTATAGGACATGGAAAGTATTTAAAATACGATTTCAAAGTAAACTCCAGCGAGCAAATGAGGTTTATAATGATATTACAAACTGAAAAAATGGGTGCCACTTCAGGAAGATGGGTAAAATGACATAAACAAGGCCCGACATTTGGTCTCACTACACTCACATTTAATTGTATTATGATATAGAATGCTGATTTTCTAACTCAATACATCAGTTTAGTTGGCCGACTAAAGGCCAACGAGAACGTCTCCCCTAAGTTTTCAGTTAGTCCCATAGCCAAACAATTACTTTGATTGCATATTTAAACACTTTCAATATATTATCACCCAAATTAAGGTTGAAATACAGTGACTGAAGGTTTATAGATTAGAGAATATTAACAAACTGGGTTATTGAGGATTTTTTTTCTTTTATGACTTAGATTTCATAATGTCACCGTCTGTTATAAAAAGTTTTTTCATTTCTGTATCATAGACTGTAAATGGACATAGCTAATGTCAGCATGGGTGCACTTCCCGCTCCTTCAAGTCTGGCTCTAATTCTTTGTATTGAAAAAACAGCTCATCATTTTGGTCTTAAAATTTATTAACCAGCTCTAAATGATCCTGGTGTTTTTATTTTGCTATTTTGTCCATAATTTCCTATTCCTAATATGGAACTCTGCTCCACTCAGGTCCTGCCAGCCTCTGTGAGCTTCATTTGACTGGAGCCAAACACTATGGACGACATCACACTCCCTTAGTCCACTTCTTTATAGAGTCTATGTCTGTATAGTTAAGACAGCAATTACCATTATTAAAATACAACGTAATATATTTGATTAGCCCAATTACTCTGCAGCCTTTTTCTCTACAGGCAAGCAATAATAATAAACACGAATATCAACATTTAGGGAGTTATCCTGATGCAGACAAATTTTCTGGTTAGACAGTAATTAGCAGAGTACTCAGAATCCATCGCTGTGACACGTCAGTTTGGCTCCAGGTAAAAAAAAAAAAAAAAAAAAGAACAAAAAGATCTGTCTCTCGCACCTGCCTCTGCCTCCAGCCATCTGTCCGCACCACCACCCAGAACAAGCACCACCAGTTACAGATTATAATAGATTCATATTATGGCCACACAATACAAAGGGAGGCCACTTTCTCACATAGGTTCTGTTCACACTAATATTAGGCAGAGATTCAGTTTAGTATACATGTTATTCAATCTTAATTTTTTGGTCACTATGGTTTAGAGTGGTACCAAATATTAAAATTTCAAACTTGATATCGTTACAGAACAGACCCAATACTGCTTCCGCTATCACAATGTTGCTAAAATAGACAATAGATGTATAAATGTGATTTTCAACATTAAATGGTAGTACTTCCTTTTCCTGATCCCTCAGGTTCCAAAGTGTCCATGGGCGTATACTAGTCTATGTGCTCTTATACCTGTTCTGATACAACTCAACATCATTCTAAAGCAATTCAGGAAAAGTTCTGCTCTGTCCTGACTTTTTTTAATCTAGTTTCGATACTAGTTTTATTATTGATTAATATATGATGTTGGAGACTAGACATACAAGACAATACTAATGTCAATGCCAACATAATGAGATGAAATTATTGTGTTGTATCTATAAAAAGCACCATTGCCAACTGGCACTCCACACTCCACAGAAGAGGAACGAAATAATCCCTTTTCTAAGAACCTTTGGAAAGAATCTTTAAACAACTGGGTTTATGGTAATTTAGTGGTGAGTCATGTTTTCCATTTATTGAAAAAGGGAACAGTTATTAATCCAATATGAAATACATTTCGAGGAAGAACACTCAAAAGGTCCTCATCAAAACAAGTAGATTTTATTCAAATGTATCCCTTTATTATTTACCCCAGTGTTTCTCAATAATACAAGAGACTATGGTGGCTCCAGTAGTCCAGTAGTCCCCCCCCTCCCCTTGGCTATACCTGGACTACACTGGCAAAACAAAATTAGACTTAGTTGCTCATTGTATTCTCATGACATTATAAAAGAGACTACACTGGCCAAAAATGATTGGTTAAAGATTAAATAAAAGGCCTTGTCTGGGACTTTTATATTCCACAAATTGAGTGAGATTACATCTTTTCTTATAAAAATCATTTGTGCCTCCATAATCTTAACGAAATCTACAGGAAACACGGTTAACCATAGAAAATAGCACAAAGCATAAGTTACTAGTAATGACAAAAATAGATGAAATCAAGTTCTCACAAATGTTGTAAACGTGTTCATATTTTCACAGTAACCAATAATAATAATTAATACGAAATCGACGTTTTGAAATAAGTACATCGTAAAATTGTCCATCTCAGTGTTATACAACTTTAGCTCAAATCAGTGTTGGAAAATGGGTCACGGCGATTGCATCTCCAATTAACGAAATGAGATGTTACTTAAGCACATTTCTGGTGTAATAAGGACAATAGTGTTTGATAAATGGGTGCTTCTAAGGGCTTGGTACGAGGCAGACATGAACAGAGCCTTGTGCGTGGAGAAAGTGAGACCCGCAGCATGGCACGGGGCGCAGACAAAAGGCCACGCCGCGTCTCCAGTGCCCTTCCCCGGCTTGCGATCTCTACTCCGCCCGGTAACACGGAGCCTCCACACTTGGGTGATCTAAACCCTGAAGTAATCAAGGGTTTATGAGGCCTAGCTTCCAGATTAAATTCTAAAAGCTTCGATGATAGGAGCGTGGACTCGTCTATTGCAAATGTATGAGGAGATTGGGGTTAGCACGGGGAAGGCAGTAAGTAGCACGTGTTTGAACCGGTTTTTGCCAAGGCCTGTGCCACAAATACCACCGCTGCTAGGTAATAATCCCACTTGGAAACCACAACATGCGAACTAAAACGGGTCTGTTGAGTTTTAAGAGGGAAAATGGGGAGGAAAAGCGGTAAAGAAAGTCCAACTGGGAGGGAGTCACGATGCACACGGGGGAAGCTAACGAGGGAGGTGGCTAATCTTCAGAAACGAAAGTCCTCAGAGGGCAAAAGAACCAACAAAACGTGATTGCTTTATCAAACTGCACCAAATACATTTAATCCTGTTTTATCACAAGTTTTAAATGGATCAATAAATAATTAAAAGCGATCAAGCAATACAGTATTAATTCAGATTAGCTTGGATAGAGTTGAAGATTTCAGTCCTCAATTATATATTATCAACTGTTTTTAATATCTATAATGTAACGCAAACTAAAAATAAATTAATAAAAAGCATTGACTGAAGTACTAAATAAGACACGTATTAAAAATAGAATAATTGTAACAGTGCAAAGAGGTAAAGGATGTTTTGGAATGGCCATTTGGAACATAGTCCATGTACTATTCATGCAATTACATGTTTATAGTTTGATCGTTTAATAATCTTAGGTATTTTTCGTGTTTTAATCCACAAAACCCCATGTGATAAACGTGTTTGGGCCCACGGAGCCACTGAAAGCTGTCCAGGGCTATCCCAGGAATGTACTAGAAATTTGCTACGAATATGAATAAATTATACATATTTTAAGCAGCATTTGAAGGAGATCTACATGAAAATTACACCAGGTACAACCCAGAGTAAAGGTTTAACTATAGATTATTTCCTGCATGACTTCTTATTCCAAAAGCAGTAGATTCAAGCCATATGCTAGCCAAGGAAATGCTAAGTAATGCGGTGTTAAAGTTGTACCATAGCTGTAACTTCACTCTTTTGAGGTACTTTTACTTTAAAGAGCATATATATGACTAAAAGTGGAATCATCCATTTATAGTCACACAATTGATCAAAAATGTAAAGTTTCTGCATCTGATCAAGAGTAATGCTAACCGGTGCTAACCACTGCTAAGGCATTTATACAGGGCCCGACAAAACGATCCAATTATTACAGCAAATACTACCAATTCACCTTTTAAAGCCTTTTTACGTGAGAGTTAAACTGATCGAGATTGGATATAACTTACCAGTGGTGTGTTGATCGAAAAAGTGGTTGAGTAAAGGAGTGATTTCGCTTCGAACCTCCTCGGCTCAAACACGAACGGCAGGACAACGTGCCGGAGAAGTAGGCACCGGTTTGGGCTTCAAGTCCGCCATTACGGCCCGCCCACAGGGAAGATTAGGCCAATCAGAACCAATCTCAGTGGCGTATTCACCAATCAGAGGCAGGCAAATTCAGGCAGTAGGATGGACAGCTAGAGCGTCTACGGCGACCATCTTGTGACTGTCATTTATTCCTTTTATGTAATTTTATTATTACTTTGATTTTGATGTATTCATTATCATTTAAATTATATCATACATTTTCAACATTGTCAAACAGTATACTTCGCAAAATAAATAAAAATCAAGAGTAGTTACGTATTAATAACACATTGATAAATAATAAAAGTGCCTACAACCATTCGTTTGTAAAAAAAAAAAAAAAAAAAAAAAAAGTTTTTTTTTTACTTTTCATAACAGGAAAAGGTACATCACACTGCACGAAGAGCAGCGATAGAATAAAAGAAAACAAGCTATATATTGAGAAAAAATATATATATTTTTTTTAGAATAATACGCTGCTTTAATATTAGTAAAATAGCTTTATTATCATTTGTTTAAACTAGGGTAACAGAGTAGCTAACTTAATATTGTATTTGTATTGTAATGTAGTAGTAGATTAATTTAAAATATTTTTACATCTTGGCTGAGACTGTAGATAATCCTTGTATTAATAACTCTTTGATTCTTTGAAATTGGGCTTTTGAGTGATAAGTTATCTTCTGTTGTCTGTTTTATATTACTCGCATTAGATTTGGCTCTGTCCAACCACTGAAAGATGGCAGACACATGTGCCACTGCACAGATTGTTGCCAGTTCTCTATTTTCTCTTCTACACTCTGATTCGGTCAATCATAATAATCTGGGACATTTACCAATCAGCTGCTGGTCTAGTCACAGCCTCTTGTTTGTCCAATCACAGCGCTCCATACTGCAGCCGACCCGTGCACTTCAGTTGAACAGTCACTTGGGGGCGACAAATACCAAAAAGTTGAGAAAAACTCGAACACTCCAGCATCACAGTGAGGCCAAACAGACCTTATAATTATTTCATATTTTCAAATTAGTGGCAAAAGGAGACTAGGCGTATTTGTGGAACCTTCAAATGAATCTAAGATAAAATCAACCATCCCCCGTATACAGTTCATTATTATTATTATTATTATTATTATTATTATTATTATTATTATTATTATTATTATTATTAAAACACATTTATTCTAAATCCAGTTCACAATTTTGTTAAATGGAGTTGTTCTTTATTCTGTACAAAGCAAAATACAAATAATTCTTATAACTTATGGACCAAATATTATTATTTAGCTGATGTTTTTGTAATGTATTGCGGTTTGTATAGGCTGCTATTACATTGTCCGTGCCCTCAGATAAGATTTACATTCAAGTCTCTTTAATCCTGTGCCAAGTTTTCAAAAGGACTCTCTTCCTCCTCCTTTCTCAATCTCATCTCTGGCTCTCTCTTTCTTTCTTTCTCTTCACTATCTTATTTTTCTTTTTCTTTTTTTTTATTTCTTTAGTTGTAAAGGAACAGCACATATTAATAAAAATGTAAACTGAGGTTGATGTTAAACAGTGACAAGTACAAGCAACAATCGTACAAAAGCAAACATAACCCCAGTACACTCACTATACAAACAAGTATAAGGACAGTTCATGAAATTAGAATTTAAAAGTTCACCCTTCCCACTCTTCATTCTCTCTCTTTCCCTCCCTCCGTCTCTCTCTTTCCCTCCCTCCGTCCTTCTCTTTCCCTCTCTCTTTTCCCTGTCTGTTGTCTCATATTCTTCGCAGCAGAGGAGGAGGTGTAGCTTGTGTCTGGTGGGTGGAGTCTGGATGATCTGGTGGAGATGGAGACCGGGCCCAGAGCTTTTCTCTCTCACTCCCAGGAGACCGTGAACTCCCAAACTATTCTCTCTCTTTTACAAAGTCCATCCAACGTACTTTTATTCTAATATTAATTTGAGCTTTGTCACTGTTTACCGAATTAACAATTCATCTTTTAGTGTTGTCTAATGTCATACTGTGGGACATTCCAGGCAGCGCGATGACGTAACCACGGAAACAAGCAGGTGACGGACCCTCCACTAGAAAAGTTACACAATGCACCTTTATGATGACTTGAACTGAGAAAGTTTGAGCACACTTCACTCGACAAGTAACTTTATCTACAAATGGAACAAGACTTTTTGTACTTAACCTTTGTTTTTTTTTTCGTCCATCACCTGCTTGTTTCCATGGAGATGTCATTGCTCTTCCTGGAATGTTCCACAGTGTGACATTAAACAGCTCTACTTTACATTTATTCAACTACAGGTGTTTTTTAACTCAAAAGTACCTAGAAAAACAAACATTCTGACTGTGAGCGGGGTCACCTCTCCACAGATCTGACCCGTAATTTGATAGAAAGGTTTAATGCCATACTGTGAAACATTCCAAAGCAATAACATCAATGCACCTTCAACTCTTTGCTCTTAAAATAAGAAACACAATCAAATACTGCTTGAATTAAGAAAAACACAAGCTGAATCTACTCAAATACTGTATAGTCAAATGTTCTTAATTGGATGTTGCTGTGTCCTTGGGCAAGACACTTCAGCCACCTTGCTTGTGCATGTGATGTGAGGAGTCAATATAAGGAGTAAAATAGCACTTTGAGAAGTCAGGGTTGTAAATCACTGTTTTTATTTCATTTACTGACTTATATTATCAGGTAAAATATTAGGGACTTTTAAAAACAAAGGAAAAAATGAATAAATGAGGTTGGAGATAATTGTAACTTTTCTGTCCGTCAAATGCTTTTCTCCATGGAGATGCTATTGCTTTGTCTGAAATGTTTCACAGTATGGCATTAAACCTTTCTGTCTTTATGGAGACCAAACTAGACCGAGTTACAGGTCAGATGTGTGGAGAGGCGATCCCTCTCACAGTCAGAATGTTTGTTTTTCAAGATATTTTTGAGCTATAAAACCACCTGTAACTGAATAAATGTAAAGTAGAGCTGTTTAATGTCACACTGTGGAACATTCCAGACAGAGCAATGACATCTCCATAGAAACAAGAAGGTGACAGACCCCCAACCAGAAAGTTACATAGTGCACCTTTAGATGGCTGAAATTAATGATGATTAAATTAGATGGCTAACATTTAACTTGATTTCAGTAGATTTGACTTTACAAGTAAAATTATATAAGCTGTAGTTTCTTATTTTAAGTGCAAAGAGTTGTAATTTTTCTCATCTTTTATGTAACAAGAGCTTGTTTCTATGGATATGTCATCGCTCTGCCTAGAATGTTCCACAGTGTGACATTAAACATCTTTATTTTACGTTTATTCAATTACAGGTGGTTTTATAGCTCAAAAATACAGATGAAAACAGGGATTCTGACAATGAGCGGGGTTGCCTCTCCACAGATCTGACCTATAACGTGTAAAGTCTGATCTGGTCTCCATGAAGATAGAAAGGTTTAATACTATTGTGAAACATTTCACACGGCAAAAACTGGAGGGTTAAAATTTTAGGGTAAAATATTTCAGAGTTGTTTTTAACACCAAAAGTGTCATTTTAACAATTTGAAAGTTACATGGGGGTTCGAGTTGGGGTTATTTGCCAGAGTTGATGTGGTTGAGGTTAATTCAACTCCCTCTTGTATTAGTTCATCTTCCCTTAGTGTTAATTCAACTTCTCTTAGTGTTAATTTGACTCCTCCCATTCACCACTTCAAACTCTGTGAGAGAAGACCAGTTTGAACCAGTTTTGTTCATAATTTCATGTTAAATTAACAAAAATAAAGTATAAATAAAATAAAACATCTCTGTGTGTTGTTTAGCTAAATCAGAATAACTGTACAAAGTGTTATCCGTTTACTCTCAAAACATTAATATAACTCTGGATTTCGGGGTTAAACTGGAACTTTGGTCCAGTGTTACTTAGTTAACATTTCCAAAAATGTTAAATTAACTCTAGAACAGACTGGATTCATATAAACTCTGAAAATGTTAAAGTTGATTCTGTAAGAGTCAATTTTAACACTCCATTTTTTGCTGTGCAGACAAAGCAATAATGTCTCCATGGGGAAAAGCGTTTGACAGACCCTCCACCAAAAAATGTACACAATGCACCTTTAAGTAGAATAAAATAATTTCACTTTTCATGTGAATTTACTCAGCTCAAGATAACATTTTCTTAATTCAAGTCACTGTAACTTAGCAAGATTTTAGTTTTCATATTTTTGTAATGTATTTTGGTGCTCACAATTTGACTACTTTTACATTCCATATTATTCACCATGTGTTAAAGTACATATTGCTTTCTTCTGGACAGTTTGAGGACTCCGTGTTCCTGTGTATTCTCTCTCTCCTCCCTCAGACCACATGGGTGTGTGAAGCCTGTAATTCAGCTATAAATAATAACCCGGCCCCATATTCAAACCAGACTCCTGAAATCCAGCGTTTAGACACCGCCACAAGTCCATATCCAGGGCATGGACCGCACCACATTTTACGACACGGAGGACGGTTTTAACCAAGACTCGACCTTCTCCACAACCTGATCTGTGTGTTTAGGTGAAAGTGCACAAGCTCCATGTGCAAAAGGGGAAGTGAATGTGACCCAAGATTAAACAGCAAGACCAGGAAAAGGCTGGAGTTAGACTGTGCAAAGACAAATTATTATTTTGAACTATTCTGGTTGTATATAAATGCACTTTAGATAAGTCTACATCAGTTTTAGATTCACATTTTATACAATAGTCTAATGAATGGTGGCTCTTTAATCATTATTTTGGTTTATAATTATTTTTCTAAAGGGGCACCTTGTTTCCATGGAGATGTTATTGCTTTACCAGAAATGTTCCTCAGTGTTGTAACTTACCAATTATGTGTGCAGTTATGTTATTAGGTTCTTTTTTGAGACCAAGAGTTTAGTTTCATACCTGACAGTTTCAACTGCTCACTAGCACTCTTCCTCAGAGTGGTCAGGTGATGTTGCTGTGATGTGTCGGTCAGATGATTTAAACAGGTTTTGGCGCCGTCTTCCTACCGGTGGAGGCAGGACGACAGCGCCATCTGCAGTCCGACTTCCTCAGGACAGTATCCCAGGTGTGTGAGAGTAAAAAAGCTCTGTTGTCCCGGTTTATAGTCCTGTAGGCGTTTCCATATTTCGATTGCCTCTATAATCCAGCGGTGATGTTTGTTTTCCTCTGTCCCAATGATGTTTGTATAAACCGGGACGAGGGGGCTTTTTTACTCTCACACACCTGGGATACTGTCCTGAGGAAGTGGGACTGCAGATGGCTGCCGTCCTGCCTCCACCGGTAGGAAGACAGCGCCAAAACCTGTTTAAATCACTTGACCAAACACGTCACAGCAACATCATGTGACCACTCTGAGGAAGAGCGCTAGTCAAGTATAAGTATAAGTAAACTGTCAAGTATGAAACAAAAGTCTTGGTCTGAAAAAAGAACCTAATAACATAAAATATCAGAAGACCAAATGAACCTCATTGGACTATGTGTGCAGGTGTTTTTCTTGCTCAAAAATACTCTGGAAAACCTACATTATTATGACTGGGCTTGCCTCTCCACAGATTTGACTTGTAACTCGGTCTGTTTTCCCTCCACCAGAAAAAGACTGGAGTTAGTTTTCCTTGTATCCATGAGATGTTATGTTCCTCATTGTGGTAATTCACCTGACAAGCATTCCTCTATGTTTTTCTTGCTCAAAAATACCTAGAAAAACATGCATTCTTAGTGTAAGCGGGCTTTCCTCTCCACAGATCTGACTTGTAACCTGGTTTGCTGGTGCAATCTGCTTTCCTCCATCAGAATAGGTTTACAGTTCACATTTAAACTACTTTTTGGAACAGGAGTCTTCTTGGTGAAGGTAGTAGTTGAAATGATTTTAAAAACGCAGAGGAGCTCTTCTGGATTGACGTCAAAATGCGAGTGGTGAGTGAGACAGACCTGACTTATTTGCAGGTTTAACAAAATGTCCAAGAGTAACTTTAATTTGAAACTAAACAACACAAAACGTAAATTCCAGTGCGGTGTCAGGTGAGTTTTCAGAAGGCGTGGGATGACAGTGGCACAAAGACTCCATTCAAACACATGGAACCTGACCCCTGAATGGACGACTCGGCCCAAACACTCAACCTGGAGATTTACAAATGCATTATGGGTAAACCACAACTAAGCCAGAAACAAAAAAAAACACTGTTGTAGACAGTGACTGTTGTAGACTGTATAAAGAAGTGGACTAAGGGAATGTGAAGCAGAGGAAGACCAAGTTGTTGTTTTGCAAGTCTCAAGTAAGTCTCAAGTCTTTGACCTCAAGTCCGAGTCAAGCCCCGGGTCAAAAACAGGCAAGACTAAGCTGAGTCTTGAGTCACTGGCCCATAAGTCCAAGTCAAGTCCAAGTCTTCTGCTTTGAGCTTCAAGTCATTTCAAGTCTTTAAACGAAAGTACCAGATTTTTGCAATTTATATGAATTTTTAATCTAAATTGTACATAAAAAGTCATGGTATATTTATATATGAGTATTTATATAAGGTTGTAGAAATGAAAATTTTTCCTTTTTAAATGTCTTGACAAGATCTGAGTGTGGATCATTATGGTCAGACCAGAAATAATTCTGATTTAAAAGTGTTAAATAACAGTTATTTTGCCAGGTAGTCTGCACATAAATAGAAGGATCTTGTTTAATGTAGTTTCTTGTTTTACTGTATTATCCTGTGTTGTACTGCATATTACTGTATTGTACTGTATTGTACTGCATATTACTGTATTGTACTGTATTGTACTGCATATTACTGTATTGTACTGTATATTATTGTATTGTACTGTATTGTACTGTATATTATTGTATTGCACTGTATATTATTGTATTGTACTGTATTGTACTGTATATTATTGTATTGTACTGTATATTATTGTATTGTACTGTATATTACTGTAGTACATTTGAGGATACCACATTACAGTACTTCAGTTTCATCCAACGTACCAAACAGAGCCTGTAAAATTAAACACTGCATTTATCAACATATACTTGTAGGAGAAGCATCAAGTCTTCTCAACCTCAACCTTCAAGTCCAAGTCGAGTCCCAAGTCTTAGTCCATTTTGTCAAGTCAAGTCTCAAGTCCTAAAAATAGTGACTCAAGTCTGACTCGAGTCCAAGTCACGACTTACAAGCGCCCATGTCTGGTGTGACGTCACCCATATGAAGGTCACAGAGGCCTGCAGTTGTAGGAGCCAATTTGGAGTTGAGCTCTATATTAGAAATAGAAATCGATTAAAGGACAAAATAGCAAAATAAAACGCCAGGATCATGTAGCGCGGGCTAATACAAACATTTTAAAGACCAAAATGAGGAGTCTGACAGAAGCAGTTACAGAGAGAGGTGATGTTTTTTCAATACAAAGTGAATTGGAGCCAGACTCATAAGGAGCTGGAAAGGAGCCCATATTCACTTCCTATTTGGAACACAGTCACAGTCACAGTGTGTTAGCTATGTCCATTTATATATACAGTCTGTGGATGTAGATAGTAAAAATAATGTTATACCTGTTTTCAAGCTTAATATTTACTTAAATAATAATACTTGCGTGCCAAAGTCCGAACTCAAAAGCTAAGCAGGGCTGGGTTTGGTCAGTGCTTGGAATATAAAGTGCCGCAGTGGAGCAGCAGTGGCTCTGGTGTGTTGCTGGGTCCTTAGGCAAGACACTTGACCCACCTTGCCTAGTATCAGTGTGGTGTAGGTGATGGTGGTTTGGTGGATTGGTGGCAGATGGCGCAGACTGGCAGCCTCACTTCCGTCAGTCTGTCCCAGGGCAAGTGTGGAGCGAATGAATAATGCACTCTGAAGCACTTTGGATGTCTTGAGAACAGCGTTGGGAAGTAACAGATTACATGTACCGGAGTTACGTAATCAGAGTACAAATTATGAGTAACTGTATTCAGTTACAGTTACTGTTTCAGTGAGTGGTAATTGGATTACAGTTACTTGGTTGAAATAAGTGGATTACACAGCGGTATTTTCCTGTTTTTACATTTTGGGCTAAATCCCACTTTTCTTTTCTTTTTTTTTTTCCGTAATTCCACTCATTGTCGGACACTAAACCAGGTCTAAAACCAGGTATAAACCAGGTATAAACCAGGTCTAAACCAGGTCTAAACCAGGACTAAACCAGGTCTAAACCAGGTCTAAACCAGGTCTAAAACAAGGTCTAAAACAAGGTCTAAAACCAGGTATAAACCAGGTCTAAACCAGGTCTAAAACCAGGTCTAAACCAGGTCTAAAACAAAGTCTAAAACTAGGTCTAAACCAGGTCTAAAACCAGGTCTAAAACCAGGTCTAAACTAGGTCTAAACCAGGACTAAAACCAGGTCTAAAACAAAGTCTAAAACTAGGTCTAAACCAGGTCTAAACCAGGTCTAAAACCAGGTCTAAAACCAGGTCTAAAACCAGGACTAAAACCAGGTCTAAACCAGGTCTAAACCAGGACTAAAACAGGATTTAACAGGACTAAACCATGCTGCGTGGACCGTGTCTCCTCTTCTTCAATAATATTTTTAATACGGTTCAGTAAAGTCTGGACTTTTCATTTTCTTTTATCAGATAAAACATCTTATGTGAAGATTTCCTCGTCTTTGCTTCTCTACAGCAAATCAAGTAATCCAAAGTATTCAGATTACGTTACTCACTTTAAGTAATTTAATGGATTATGTTACAAACTACATTCTGGTGTATGTAATCTGTAATCTGTAGGGGAATACATTTTAAAGTCACCTTCCCAACACTGAATATAGGATCTTTACACTAACATAACACATGTATGAAGTATGCAGAGATTGGCAGCTGTTTTGTACACTTTTATTATTTAAAATTTTAGTCTGGTCAGTAGAAACACGAGAGAAAAACGCTCAGCCTGCGAGAATTTCCCCGATCAAACATCTTATAAAATCCTCTTTCAAATATTATTTACGTCAAAAAACACCGATGACATAAAGGAATGAATGAAGGAGCCCACCACCAATGCACAAACTATGCGTCTAGAAAGCAAGCGAAGGGAGAATTTATTAAGAAACTTTATTTTTTACAACTTTGTCTCAAAAAATATCAAATTGTTTCCCAAATTTTGCCCTAAATTAACAAATGGTGAGTTACATTTTCATAATATTTAAAATTCAAAGACATTTACATCAGAGGTGTTGAGGGTCTGTTGGGTGAGTACAAACGTGTGCAGGTTTGACTTTAGAAAAATCTCGTTTTTTTAGTGGTATAGGTAGGAAAGAAATCATTATAAAAGCAAAAAAAAAAAAAAAAAAATACAATTAAAATGAAAGTGAATTTGCACATAGCACCTTGATTTTTGATTTTTAGTTTAGTTGGAGAACGCTCGGTTCTTTTCGGGGCTGCATCATCAGGAGTTTAGATGATGAGGTCTTTGTCAACGTCCTCTGTAAAAAGAAAAGAGAAATAAAGAAATATGTTAATATGATCAGAAAATAAAGTGCTTTCTAGACTATTTTTCTGAGACTATTTTGCACTTTTATTTTATATTTTGATAAGGTCCAATCCACTATATTATATTGGGTCGCATTTTGGACCAAAAATTGTAACTGTATAAAATGGAAACTAGAAATAAGGTTGGAATGTAAGTGGAGCAAACAGACGTGACTATTCCAGAAGATAATCAAACTATATATCTTAATCAGAACTTCTGTGTTTTCAGGTTTTGTTGGGTAAAGATTATTTTGGTGCAGAAGGAAGAAGCCCACCCTACAGAGCGAAGTACTTGCACTTTAAGACTTTATACAGAGTTTTAGATGATGTGGTGTTAGATAAAGTGGTGACTGGACTGTATGTTTGTGGGAGTGAAATACTGACGGTCTTTGATTCCGAAGCAGGCGGCCCACTCCTCCAGAGCGATGTATTTGTCCTGGTCAGAGTCACACTCCTCAAAGAACCTGGTGGTGCAGTGCTCCATGGGAATGAGAGGAGCACGGAGAGGAGACAGCTCTGTGTGGGTCAGGTATCTGAGGAGGAAGAGGGTTAAAAATCAGCATGAATATAGAAACCACAAGACACAGAGAGGAGACAGCTCTGTGAGAGTCAGGTATCTGAGGAGGATGAGGGTTAAACATCAGCATGCATATGAAGCACACTGTGTCTCTTCAGAGGAATATATGTATAGAAGTATATATTTAATCAGACTGACCCATCAGCTGGGTGCTGGTCGAGCTGTCCAAACTGCCAGTGCACAGGGAAGATGTACATGTTGTAGTTCTTCTGGAAGTCATGAGCAAGAAGGTCCAGAGAGTGGTCTCCAGCCTGCAGACGCTTCTCATTCTCATAGATCTTCTTCACCTGCACAGGAGATAAAGGATCAGGAACAGAAACTGAACATTATCAACAGTATTATTAAAGCCCTGCTCTGGGGGGGAAGGGGAGGGATTATAGTCCCCCCTCCACGGACCTTATCATTTTGTATTAATATACAATTAAATGATAAACAGAAGCTCAGGTTTATAACAACAGTGTGTGGAGCTGGAACCAAACTCTAAACCTGAGTTTCTGCATCTCTATGAGCAGGTTGTTCTCCTCGTCCCTCTCGTACAGAGTTATATAGTGTTATATAATAGTTATAGAGTAGATTGTATTATATTATATTTTACCCTGAGTTTCTGCTTCTCAGTGAGCAGGTTGTTCTCCTCGTCTCTCTCGTACAGAGTCACCAGGACGTTCTTGAGCCAGTCTCTCATCCTCAGAGGAAACTCACTGAGCTCAGAGTCCACACATGGCTCGATGTCTGAGAAAAACATCACAGTGTTAATTAATATTAAGTATTTTAAAGTAAATTATGCTTCAGATAACAATCATGAAACAGGATGTTCTTGTTAATGAGATGTTCCTCAATATGGCATTAAACACATCTTTCATTTATTCAGTTTCATTTCACTAAGGGTGCATTCACACACTAAACCCAAAACAAAGCAACAAAACAAAAACCAATTATGTTTTATTTTTATTTCATATGTGAGCGTTAAAACTACTCCACTCCTTGTCCACATTCCTGAGATGTTTCTGCAGAGTGCTGCTGTTGTGACCTGATCTCCCTTTGACCCTTTAGGCCCAGAGTCTGAACAGAAGCCTGTGGAGATTAAACAGAACTGCAACGAGTCTGAACCAGTTTAAACAGGGAGAGGGAACGAGGACATCTGCACAACACTACAGCAGGTTACGAGTTAAAGGTGGAGACTCTGTCAAAAGCTTTTCTCCATGGAGACGTTATTGCTTTGTCTGGAATGTTTCACAGTATGGCATTAAACCTCTCTGTCTTCATGGAGACCAAACCAGACCAAGTTATAGGTCAGATCTGTGGAGAGGCGACCCCGCTCACAGTCAGAATGTCTGTTTTTCTAGGTATTTTTGAGCTCTAAAACCACCTGTAATTGAATAAATGTAAAGTAGAGCTCTTTAATGTCATACTGTGGAACATTCCAGTGCAATGACATATCCATAAAAACAAGTGGGTGACTGACCCCAAACTAAAAAGTTACGTATTGCACAGTTAAAGCAATGTACCTGATTTCTTTTTCATCTAATAAAGTGGAATCTCTCTTGCCCCAGTACAAATGTGTGTGTCAAAGCATCTCTCAGGGTCAAAATGAGCTGCTGTGTGCTGTCTGTTTATAACTATAAAGCATTTTCATCTCTGCCAACCAGGAAGTGTGCTGTTAGCATGCTCTGGAGTTGAGAAACGCTCTTATAAACTCATCGAAGTCAATAATCAGGACACTCTGAATGCATAAGGTACGTGAGGGAAAACGTTGGACCACTGCAAACTGTTTGAAAATTAACTAGTTCTGTTTTTAAAATGTAAAAGTCAAAGTACAGCTCCTGTGTAACTTTTCAGATCTGTGGAGAGGTGAGAATTCATGTTTTAAATGTATTTTTGGGCATTAAAATCCATAATGAAATGTAAGATAGATCAGTTTAAAATCATACTGTGGCAAAGCAATGGAGCTCCATGGAGAAAAGCAGACATGTCACATAGTACTACTTTAAACTGATCTATACTACATACAGTGAAAAACACACCAGATGTCTTCCTCCCCATTGAGCTGAGCTCCACAGATCCAGCTGGACTAAACTCAACAAAATGACTCAGTTTTGCCAAATAGTTGAGTCCCATTCCAAATCAGATATGTTTGGTGTGCTCACATTTGCAGGGTCCGATGTAGTCCAGGTGCAGCTTGTGTCCCTTCTTGGTTCCCTCCAGAGTGCACTTTGTGGCAAAGAAGTGGCAGGACGTGTCATAGGTCTTATTGTCAGTTCCACAAACCTGAAACAAAATAAACAAATGTCAATAAATAAATAAATAAATAAATGAAAGTCCATTCGTTGAATATGTATTCTTGTATTAGTGCAGCAGCTCATGGTTCAGTTTTCTCTCAGGCATTTGCTCTCTTTTTCTATAACAGTAAAATCTGTCTAAAGTCCTCAATCAAAACAGGCTTAATAATGAGTTATTATTGTGGACCCGAAGACAAAAAGGTTTGTGGTTCTTCCCAAAATAAAGAATATGGCATAGATATTAACCTCCCATGTCAAACTTGATTTCAATATTAGGATGTGGCTTATATTCTATACAGATTTTTTATTTTGATTTTGAGACAGTGAAATTACATTTTAAACATGAAAAGTAGTCAATTTAATATTATGCCTTTTCAGAAATGGATCAAGACCATTTCCCATCATTTCAGAGACTTTCTTTCAGTTCTCCTATCTGTTCAAAAGAGTAAGTCTCACTGTAGAGATGATTGGTGTCTGAGTATGTTTTTTGGGCAGCCCTATCATGAACTAAACTGATATTATAGTCATTTTCAGTGCAGGTGAAACTCACGTGTTCAAACTCTCCCTCGGCGGGGGGGCAGGTGGAGGGGTCCTGGCACACACACATGGGTGTGTTTGATTCATCCACCTCACACACTTTTCCCTTCTTACAGTGATGGTTCAGGCAGGGGTCTGTGGAGACGGGGAAAACAAATATTTATACATAACATCATGGATTTACACATTCTAAACATACAGATGTTATTACTTTGTCTCTTTTAATGTTGATTTTATGATTCTTATTTAGGTTTTGTTTTGATGTATTGCTTGTATTGTGGTTTTAATGTGTTTGCTATTCTATAAAGCACTTTGAATTCGTTTGTGTATCTTCATTTAGATACACAAGTGACACCAGCCGGCTGACTTACAACCAACTCAGATCTGTGGAGAGGTAGCCCTATTTATTGTAAGAATGCATTTTCTTTTGGAAAGGTATTTTTGCACTTATTTGTCCATGTACAGTGTTGAAGTAAAGTGTGTCTTTCCCCAGTACAGATATATTGTAGAAGCAGCTCTGGAGGTCAAAATAAGTTTGCTGTCTACTGTCTGCTTCTAATTATAAAGCATTTTTGTCATACATGAATCAGAAAATAACACTGGTGCACTGTCAAGGAAAAACTCTCCTCGGGTCTTTTTAAGTTGTCAAAAGCTTTTATAAACTCATCGTGGTGAATATTAGAATGCTCTGAATGTATAAGGTAAGTTTTTCATTTGTTAAAACAGTAAAAATCTGGTACAGATCTTTTAGGGTGGGTTAAAATCAACAAGAAACTGTTGTGAATTATTAATGGGAAAATGACTCCTAACGGTCTGCAAATATGTTTACCCACTGTCTCTAGCACAGATCTCTGTATACTCTCTGTATTTGAAGTGAAGTCATGGAGAAACAAAATGACAAAATTGTGAAGTAAATCCTGAATGAGGCGACAGACCAGAGCTGTAATCCAGAGATTATGAAATGCTGTTTATAAAGTGAGAGATGGAACGGTGAATATGGGAAAGATGGACTCATATCAAAGTAAATACAGACGTGGACATCCTCTGTTTGTGATGAGGAAACTACATTAGAACAAATCAGAAAACAGTGTAAAATGGTCCAGAAGTGCGTGGAGTTGAATAAAAGTAATTCTGATTCTGATCAATTTCCTCACATTTAGTAAAACCAGTGCAGAACAGCGAGTCTCTGGTTGAGAGTTTGTGTGTGTGTGTGTGTGTGCGTGTGTGTGTGTGAGGGCATTAGCTGTGTTTGAAGCTCAGAGGTTTAAACAGGAACCAGAAGAGCCTCTCATTAAACTGTCATTATGAGTCTGAGTCTGAAGCGGGCCCTGTCATTTACACTGTCTTAGCCTCCACTGCAAACACAAACACAAGAGCCACACAGACGTGTGAGGAGGAGAGGGGATGGACCGCTTAAAGCTACGCTCTGTAACCTGCATGATTCCACGGAAAGAGAAAGTTAAAACCAGATTTTAGGAGTTAGATCAGAACCATAGAGTGTGTAAAGAAGTGGATACAGAGTGTGTGACATCACCCACAGAGGCCAGCACTTACAGGAGTGAATTTGGAGTCAGTTCCATATTAAAAATAGGAATTTATTTATGGATAAAATTGTGAAATAAAACACCAGGACCATGTAGAGCGGGCTAATATGAACATTTTAAGACCAAAATAAAGAGGCTCACAGCAGCAGCTACAGAGAGACGGGGAACATTTTTCAGTGTAAAGTTAACTGGAGCCAGAGTCAATGGAGCCACAAGTGTTAACATGCTCACTTTCTATTTGGAACACAGCGGCTAGCGGGTAGCTATGTCCATTTATACATACAGTCTATGCCAAAGGAGAAATTCAATTTGTCACTTCCTGATCATATAAGACAGAACTGAAGAAGCAGTTTGGATGAGCTGCAAAACACTTTTGACCAACATAAACTTTTGTCCAGTTGACAAGTTGAATTTCTCCTTTGCCATGGATTCTACCTGACAACTGAGAGCTTTTATTTACAGTTTATGGTCCTTATGGTGGTCCTTGTCTTATTTGTCTCATGAAACAAAAAAAAACCCAACAACAACAAAAAAAACATATTTTTTAGTCTTTGCTGTGACTGAAATGTACACAGTGGGGCTTTTATTTTTTACCATCAAATTACAAAGGCAGTTGTCATTTTAGGTAACATAATATCTTTTGCAAATGAAAAAATCTGTTTTATTTTCCCATTAAAACCCAGTACCCCTGTAGTTTAGCCCTATAAACACACACACACATACACACAAACACACGCACACACTCACGTGTGTATATATAACAAATCAGACTCACTGTCCAGAGTGTCCTCCACCACCTCCTCCTCGGGGTCAATGGCCTCGTCAAACTCTCCCACCTCCACCTGCACTGGGTTAGCCCCCACCTCCGGCTCCTGGGGCCAGAGAGAGAAGAGGCTCAGCTCAGTCAACATTATTATTTTCTAGTTGTGATGCTGATTCTGATAGAAAGTTTTAAAGATTTGCTGATATCGAGTATCAGGAGATACCAGAGCAGAGCTGGAAAACAGCATCCTTGACAAAACAAGTCAACACTGATCCAAATGTGTTGTGTAACTGTTGTTTATCTCTGAAATAACTAAACCATAACTTAATATAATTTGTATACATTTTGACCTTGGTGTAAATGAAAGTTCAAACTCTTGCTACATCACTTTGTCTGTCCAACCAGGATATCGGCTGAACGAAAAAATTGGGAGCCAAACCGATATCTGATCTGGCAAATTTTTCAATATGCTCTTTTTCTTATAGTATGTACATGCTGTTTAATGTTGCACTATGTACCACCTGCTGTTCTCCATGAAGATGTGGTGCTTTGCCTGAAAAGTTTCATGCATGTTTTATTTGATTTGATTTGACATTTATTTGATCAAAAAGATGTTACTGATGAATCCATGTGTCATTCGTTCATTCGTTTTTCAATATAAAACCAAAAATAAGAAAACAAAAAAACACCAATTTTCTTCATTATTTGTCTCCAAAACCAAAATGAAAAAACAGATAATGATTCTTTTTTCAGCTTTTGATTTTGTGTTTAAATGAAGAATGGAAAAAATGGATAACAGCCTTTTTCCCGTTTCTGAAACTGTGATGCCGGACTGAACCAGGACTGAATCAGGACTAAAACAAGACTAAACCAAGACTAAACCATTTTCAGTCCTGGTCTGGTCCCAGTCTCAGTCCTGGTCTCAGTCGTGGTCCTGTTCCTGGTCTCAGTCCTGGTCCCCGTCCTGGTCTCAGTCGTGGTCCTGTTCCTGGTCTCAGTCCTGGTCTCAGTCGTGGTCCTGTTCCTGTCTCAGTCGTGGTCCCCGTCCTGGTCTCAGTCCTGGTCTCAGTCCTGGTCCTGGTCCCGGATTCAGTCCTGGTCTAGTTCCGGTCTGGTCGGACCCTGGTTTAGTTCTGGTTCAGTCCGTATGCGGCGCGAAAGTCCAGCATCGCAGTTTAAGTCACGAAAACAGAAAACGGCCGTTATCCTTTTTTACCATTTTTCATTTAAACACAAAATCAAAAACTGAAAAAAACAAATCATTATCCGTTTTTTCATTTTGGTTTTGGAGACAAATAATGAAGAAAATAGTTGTTTTTTCATTTTCTTATTTTTGGTTTTATTTTGAAAAACAAATGAACGAATGATGCACGGATTCTGATGAATTGTTGCGATGTTTGTGAGTTCACAAACACAGAGCAGCGTTGTGGTTTGGGTGAAGCCCTAACACCAGCAATAACATCTCCATGGAGCAGCAGGACAGACCCAGAAAAGTTCCATAGTGCACCTTTAATCAGTTCTGCTAACAAACTCATCTATTGCTGAACCAGAGACACTTTAAACGTAATTTCCTCTCTACATTGACTCTATTTTCATTTTTTCTCGTCCCTTTCCTCCTCCTCTCGTCTGTCCCTCAGGTCTATTTTCTCCACTCTTCGTTCCTCTCAGACTCTGTGGTTTCCTGGAGTCCTGCTCCGCTCTGAGCCAGTTCCTCCCTGAAGAATAATAAAATCCTTCTCAGACCACAGAGTCCACATGTGTGAGAGGAACCGCTCCTGCTCCAGACCAGGCCCGTCCTTTTCAACTGTGGAGCTTCACCAGACCCCAGGGACCAATGGAAACTCCACATCACACACTCAGAGCTTATGGAAGAGTTTTTTTCAAGTTCAGCAAGCTTATTTTATCTGGTTTAGTCCTGGTTTAGTCCTGGTTTAGTCCTGGTTTAGTCCTGGATTATCCTTGTTCAATTCTGGATTAGTCTGGTTCTGGTTAGATCCTTGTTTAGTCCTGATTTAATCCTGGTTTAGTGTTGGTTTACTTCTCGTTTAGTCCTGGTGTAGTCCTGGTTTAGTCCTGGTTTAGTTCTGGTTTAGTCCTGGTTTAGTCCTAATTCATTATCAATCCCTTTTTCCCACTTGTCTTTTTGTATTGGCAGTAGAAACAAACATCTGTGTCCGGTTTAAATCCCAGTTTAAAAAATCGGATCCAAACATTTGTTCTGACCTCCATCACGCCATCATAAACTCCTCCACCACAATCTCCTCCCTCTCTCTCTCTCTCTCTCTCTCTTTTGCTCTTTTTGTGTCCCTCTCTCTCCATCTCTGTCTCCATCTCTCTTTCCCTCTCTCCTCTCTCTCGTGCCTTCTCTCTCTTCCTCTCTCTCTGCCCTCTCGCTTTCTTTCTTACCTCCATCACAAACTCCTCCACCACAGTCTTCTCCCTCCCTCGCTTTCTCTCTCTCTTCCTCTCCATCTCTCTCTGTCCCTCTCCTCTCTCTCTCTCTCTCTCTGTCCGTTCTTACCTCCACCACAAACTCCTCCACCACAGTCTCCTTTCTCCCTCCCTTTCTCTCTCTTTCTCTCCTTCTGTCTCTCTCTCTCCCTTTTTCTCTCCCTCCCTTCTTCCCTCTCTCTCTCTCTCTATCCATTCTTATATCTATCACAAACTCCTCCACCACAATCTCCTCTCTCTCTCCCTCCCTTCTTCTCTCTCTCTCTATCCAATCTTACCTCCATCACAAACTTCTCCACCACACTCTCCTCTCTCCCTTTTTCCTCCCTCCCTCCCGCTTTCTCTCTCCCTCCCTCCCTCTCTCTCTCTCTCCCTTCTTCCCTCTCTCTCTGTCGCTCTCTCAGTCTCTCTCCCTCTCTCTCTCCATCTCTCTTACCTCCTTTCTCTACCTCCATCACACACTCCTCCTTTTGTCTCCTTTCTCCCTCCCTTCCTCTCTCCCTTTTTCCTCCCTCCCTCCCTCTCTCTTTCTCTCCCTCTCTCTCTCTCCCTCCCTTCTTCTCTCTCTTTCTCTATCCGTTCTTACCTCCATCACAAACTCCTCCACCACGGTTTCCTCGGGGGCCGGCTCCTCCACGATCAGCTCCTCCTCCATCTGCGGACACGGGGACGGACAGAAGCGTGTGAGTGTGCGGCGTACGGCTCCAGTCAAATGAAGCTCACTGAGGCCTGCGGTTACGTGGCTGAGTCTGAAGTCGTATTAGGAATAAGAACTGACATGCTGGGTTAATAGGAACCTTGAAAACCCAAAATGCCGAGGCTCGCAGCAGCAGTTACGGTGAGACGAGCCACCGTATTTCAAAGTAAAGTCGTTTAATTTCATCATTTTGGAGTTGTTTGTTTTTTCACATTCTTCCTTATTCTTTCTCTCCTCTCACTCTTTCTCACGCTCTCTCTATCTCTCTTTCTACCCCTCCCTCGCTTTCTTTCTCTCCCTCTCCTTTCTCCTCTCTCCTTTCTCCCTCTGTCTCCTCTCTCCTCTTCCTCTGTCTCCTCTCTCCTTTTTCCTCTGTCTCCTCTCTCTCCTTTCTCCCTCTGTCTCCTCTCTCCTTTTTCCTCTGTCTCCTCTCTCCTTTTTCCTCTGTCTCCTCTCTCCTTTTTCCTCTGTCTCCTCTCTTCTTTTTCCTCTGTCTCCTCTCTCCTTTTTCCTCTGTCTCCTCTCTTCTTTTCCCTCTCCTTTCTCCCTCTCCTCTTTCCCACTCCTCTCTCTCCTCTCTCCTTCTCTCTCTGTCTCCTCTCTTTCTCCCTCTCCTCTCTCCTTTTCCCCCTCCAGCTCCTCTCTCGCTTGTTCTCCTTCTCCATCTCCTCTCTCTCTCTCTCCCTCTCCTTTTCCCATCTCCTCTCTCTCTTCTCTCCCTCTTCCTCCGTCTCCTCTCTCGCTTGTTCTGCCTCTCCTTTCTCCCTCTCCTCTCTCCTTTTCCCCTCTCCTTTCTCCCTTTCTTCTCTGCTCTCTCCCTCTGTCTCCTCTTTCTCCCTCTCCTTTCTCCCTCTCTTCTCTCCTTTTCCCCTCCGTTTCCTCTCTCTCTCCTTCTCCCTCTGTATCCTCGCTCTCTCTTTCCCCCCTCCTTTCTCCCTTTCTCATTCACTCTCTTTCTCTCTCTCTACCCCCTCCGTCGCCTTCTGTCTCTCTCCTTCTCCTCTCTCTCCCTCTCTTTTCTAGCTGTTCTTTTTCTCCTTCTCTCTCCATATCCTCTTTCTCTCTCTCCTCTCTCTCGCTTTCTCCCTTTCCTTTCTCCTTTTCCCTCCATCTCCTCTCTCCTTCTCTCTCTCCCCTCTCTCTCTCCCCTTACTCTTTCTCTGCCTTTCTGTATTACTCTCCTCTCTCTCTCTCTCTCTCTCTCCCCTCTTTTCCTTCCCTTCTATCCTCTCTCTCTTCTCTTCTCCTTCTCTCTTCTTCTCTCCCTCTCCTCTCCTATTCTCTATCGCTGTGGCAGAGCGGTTAGCCCGTCTGGAGCCACACATAAACATGATGGATAGATCGTGAGAGAGAGAGAGAAAAAGAGAGGGAGGATCAGAAGACGACCACAGGAAATGGATGTATGTGCACAGAACAAAGGGAGGAAAGAAGTCATAAAAACGGAGAAGAGGAGAGACAGAGCGGGAGGAAGAGCTGGGTGGAAAAGAAATAGGGATAGTAAGAGCGAGAAAGAGGATAAATAATAAACTGATACTACAGAAAATTTTGCTTTTGAGTATCTGCGCGTACTTAAAGCGGTAGTATCGGTATCGGTATCGAAAAAAAGCAGGATCAGTGCATCCCTAGAAATAATGAGAGCGAAAGAGAGAAGTCGGCATTGAAGGGAGAGGGGTAGAAATAGTCGGGGAGCCAAACTCTCAAAAGCTCTAGAAAATGGGTTGAACCTGCCATACTTTTTAATTTATGTTGTTTGTTTTTTTTTGTTGTTGTTGTTAACTGTGACCCTAAGAACCAGTAATCGGAGGGTCTGCTCTTCCGGAAATATCTCGAAAAAAAATTGTGGTCATTTTAGTGTAGGTAACCTTCATTTTGTGATAGAAAATTTTGAAAAATGAAAAATTTCCTCAAATCCTCGGTGGGTTGGGTAAACTGTCTACAAATACATTCCAGATGCAAAGAACACATTCAGTGAAAAAATAATTCTTAAAACACATTTCTACGTGATTTTGGCTCAATTTAATACAAAAAAAGAGGCGTTTTTTTGTTGTTGTTTTTTTTTATATTTTCATCTTTACCTCATTGGCAATCAACTATTCCCTCAAGTTTTGACATCATGCTATTCTTTTCTCCAAATAGTATAGTCATTCCACAGAAAAAAATATAAAAATCCAACCAAAATCAATGGATCTGTGATGATTTCTTTACCATCAACAGGCCCAGAACCTCAATAGAACGTTAGGCTCCTCTCAACATTCCATAAGGCTCACTGGATATTTAGCATAGTTGTTAATGTCCATATTATTAAACATCAAGGCCTAGGCATCTTTTAAATAATAATAATAATAATAATAATAATAATAATAATAATAATAATAATAATAATAATAATAATAATAATAATAATAATGTGTAGTAGTGAAAAACTCATATTTCCGGAAGAGCAGACCCTCCAATTATAGTTAACAAAAAAAAAAAAAAAAAACACAGATAAAAAGTATGGCAGACGATGTCAGGTTCAACCCATTTTTGAGACTTTGACTCCCCGACTAAAAGAGAGGAGGAGAGGAGGAGAGGAGGAGAGGAGGAAGAGGCTGAATGCAGATGGGGAGGAGAGAAAAAAAGGGTGAGGGAGCTGGGACTGGGAGGAGAAAAAAAAAATTTAAAGAAAAGAAAAGGAGAAAAATGAGGGGAAGAGAGAGACCAAGAAAGAAAGTTAAGAGAATGGTAGAGAAGAGAGAGAGAGGAAGAGGATAGACTGGAGCAGATAAAATGAAAAAGAGAGAGAGAAGGAGCGTAAGAGGAGAGGAAAATCGGAAGAGAGGAGCAAAGGAATAAGAAGGAAGAAAGAGAGAAATAGCGAGAGAGATGGAGAAATGGTAGAGAGAGAGAGAGAGAGAGAGAGAAAGAGAAGTAGGTGTGAAGGGAGAGAGAGGAGAACAGGCACTGAAAGAGAGATAGATTTAAAGATGAGTGTAACTGACCGGAGCAGCCAGAGCCTGAGAGGCAAAGCACAGGACCAGAGCGATCCACAGCCTCATCTTCAACAGTCTGAAACCACAGAAAAAGAAAGACACACTGTTATTTTTATTAATACAACATCTAAAAACACCTTCAACAGTCTGAAAACACACAGATGTAATTAAACCAGGGATCTCCAACCTGTAGCTCAGGAACTACCAGTAGCTCTTCAGTAAAAAAAAAAAAAAAATCTCCCAGATGTCCCTATTTTTGACCAATTTCATCCCTGACTACAGTAAAATGAGGCATAAACTGTCACTTGTTGAGGTAAAATACAGAAAATCTGCTTAAAAATCACCAAAACACAAAGAAAGTGTGACTATACGGACTCACATTAGTGCCGAGAAACTAACAAGTTTCCTTAATTACGCACTCGTTTCACAATTATATTATTACCAACCAACCCAAAACAGGGATGTCCCACTTTTTTATTTTGAAAATGAAGTCACCCTAACCCCGAGCCAGAGCGTGTCTCTTTATCTCTTCTCACATGTTCACTAGTTTTGACTTAAATCTGCACAATTTGAATAAAAGTCTAGTGTCCAGGAGCAGTTCTTCACCGTTTCACTCTTTTCTTTCCTCTTGTGCTTCTTGTGATCACTATAATCCAAGTTACAGAAAGTAAACGACTATTTTCTCACCGTTTCTGAGTGAAACATAAGAGTTCATTTAGCGCACATACATCACACGTGTTTCTGTTGTGACGTGCACGTGTCTGTCTCCAACTCTAATGCACGGGCTTTTAGGTTTAATATATTGTGCAAACTCATACCAAACTTTAAATGTGAATATCTCTGGAATAAACATGAAACAAAAACTGTAGTGACCCTGACACTCTGACCTTTATGCCTGAAGTCCACTTGTGTGTTTTTAAAACAGTGAAAGACGAGCAAATCAAAAATCGAGATTTATCAATATGGGGAGAAAAAATGTGAGGTTACAGGGATCGATTAGCCTGATTCAGTTTCTACGAAGTGAAACCGTCTGACCTCGCAGCATTAGGATTTGTTTGCTCGACGGTAGGCGGGTACTTTTTCATTTAACCAATCGCTGCTATTTGGTCATGACGTATGTAATGTGCTGCTAACAGGGCTAACTGGTATATTAAGCTTTTCCCATATCCCGTAGGAAGAAGGACAATAACGTCTTTCCCCTTCATAAAATTCACCAAACATTCTCTTTATATGTAGTTAATATGATTAAGTGAGATTCAGGAGCAGGACCACGCCTCAGCCGCCCTCTCCTCTCACCAGCGAACCACAACTCACCTCGACCACGTCTCTAATTTCCCAGAAGTCTATATGTAGCAGCCTTTTCCATCATCCCAGTTTGTCTCGGCGAACTCGACCCCACCCTCCCATCCCCTATTTTGTCTTTCAGTCATAAGACCCCTACAGTTGGGTCCCGTTCCGGCTGGGCCAATTGTAGATTGAGACGGAGCCCCCACCCATACTCTCAACCCAGCCATCTCTGCCTCGCTTCGTACATTATCAATAAACGTCTTCGCACTATGTCGTTGTTGGCGTGGTCCTATCTAGTGAATCCGGCTTTAAATCCTCGATCTCGGGAATCGTTGCCAACACAGAATATATGGCTCTTTGCTGATTGGCTGGTGCCCAAACTCACACTTCCAGGGTTTCTGCAAACCATCTAGTGTATTCTGACTCCTGACTTAGTCGCTGGAGAGAAATGAAAGTGAGCAAAGGCACTAGGTGGCACCAGCCGGACTAGGGACAGTGTTGGGAAGGTGACTTTTAAAATGTATTCCCCTACAGATTACAGATTACATACCCTAAAATGTAGTTTGTAACATAATCCATTAAATTACTTAACGTGAGTAACGTAACCTGAATACTTTGGATTACTTGATTTGCTGTAGAGCAGTAAAGACTAGGATATCGTAACATAAGATGTTTTGTCTGATAAAAGAAAATAAAAAGCCTAGATTAAAAAATATTATTAATAGAAGAGAAGAAGGAGGAGACACGATCCATACAGCATGGTTTAGTCCTGTTAAATCCTGTTAAATCCTAATTTAGTCCTGATTTAGTCCTATTTTAGTCTCAGTTTAGTTCTAGTTTTAGTCCTGATTTAGTCCTATTTTAGTCCTATTTTAGTCTTGGTTTAGTTCTGGTTTTAGTCCTATTTTAGTCCTGATTTAGTCCTATTTTAGTCCTGGTTTAGTTCTGGTTTTAGTCCTGTTTTAATCCTGTTTTAGTCCTATTTTAGTCTTGGTTTAGTTCTGGTTTTAGTCCTGTTTTAATCCTTGTTTTAGTCCTGTTTTAGTCCTGATTTTGTTCTATTTTAGTCCTGGTTCAGTTCTGGTTTTAGTCCTGTTTTAATCCTGTTTTAGTCCTGTTTTAGTCCTATTTTAGTCCTTTTTAGTTGTTTGTTTAGTCCTGGTTTAGTCCTGGGTTTAGTCCTGTTTTAGTCTTTTGTTTTAGTCCTGTTTTATTAAGTTGTTTAATCCTGTTTTAGTCCTGTTTTAAAAAAGTTTTAGTCCTGTTTTAAAAAGTTTTAGTCCTGTTTTAGTCCTGATTTTGTTCTATTTTAGTCCTGGTTTAGTTTTGGTTTAAACCTGGTTTAGTCCTGGTTTGAGTGGAATTACTAAAAAAAAAAAAAAGGGATATAGGCCAAAATGTGAAAACAGGAAAATACTGCCGTGTAATCCATTTATTTCAACAAAGTAACTGACACACACAACTCACACACAAACTCCTCCTTCTATTTCTCTCTCCCTCCGTCCGTCCCTCTCTTTCTCTCTCTCGTGTGACTGTACCGTCCCTCTGTAGAAATGGGTCACTCTCTCCAGTTTCTCAAACAAACTGCTCTTTGTGTCTTTTGTCCAGAACATTTGGGGCTGGGCTGTGTCTGTGTCGGCGCTCTCGTTTACACTCTGTCCCTGAACGTGTCGCTGGAAAAAGCCTCAGCTCCTCCAAAAACAAAACTCAAACTAAAATTAATTTCCGCAAAGAATCCTGAAAATGAAACACCTCAATAAAGCTGTTTTTCAAAATGTATTAAAGACAAATAAAACAATAACAACAAAAAACAGAACCAGGTGCACTGTGTCTCCATAGAAACAAGCAGGTGACGGAAAAGCAGAAAAGTTACACAATGCATCTTTAAAGTATAAACTAAAAATTAAACTAAAATGGGACTAAACCAGATCTGAACTATGCCAGGATCAAATCAGGACTAAACCAGGTCTCTAAACAGGAACATTTTGGACTATGAGTAGATCAGGTCTAAACCAGGACTAAACCAGATCCAATGCTGGACTAATACAGGACTAAAGATGAACTAAACCTGGACTAAACCTGGACTAAACCTGGACTAAACCTGGACTAAACAAGGTCTAAACCAGGACTCTCAGCTGATGGAATCAACATTCTCTGGGGGTGTGAAGATAACTGTAGGCACTGCTCTGTCTGAACTTTTATTACACGTATTAAACTTGAGCACAATTTTACTTTAAAAAACTCCTCCTCTCTCTCTCCTCTGTCTTTCTCTCTCTCTCTGTCTCCCTCTGTCTACCTCTTTTTACCTCTTCTTTCTCTTTTTACCTCTTCTTTCTCTCTCCCTCCCTCTCTCCTCTCTCTATCTTGCTCTCTCTCTTTCCTCTCTCCTCTCTCTTTCTCTCTCCTCTGTCTCACTCTCTTCTTCCTCCCCCCTCTCTCTCCTGTCTCACTCTTTCTCCTCTCTCTCTCTCCTTCTCTCCTCTGTCTTCCTCTCTCTCCTCTTTCTCTCCTTCTCATCTGTCTCTCTCTCTCCCCATCTTTCTCTCCTTCACTCCTCTGCCTCCGTCTCTCTCTTCTTTCTCTCCTCTGTCTCCCTCTCTCTCTTCTTTCTCTCCTTCTCTCCTCTGTCTCCCTCTCTCTCTATTTCTCTCTTCTCATCTGTCCCCTCTCCTCCTATTTCTCTCCTCTCATCTGTCTCCCTCTCTCTCCATCTTTCTCTCCTTCTCTCCTCTGTCTCCCTCTCTCCTTCTCTCTTTCTCTCCTTCTCTCCTCTCTCTTCCTCTCCTCTCTCTCCTCTGTCTCCTCTCTTCTCCATCTTTCTCTCCTTCTCTCTCTTCTCTCCTCTCCTCTCCTCTATCTATTTCTCTCTCTCCTCTGTCTCCCTCTCTCCTCTCTCTTCTCTCCTCTCTCCCTCTCTCTCCTATTTCTCTCCTTCTCTCCTCTGTCTCCCTCTCTCTCCTCTTTCTCTCCTTCTCTCCTCTGTCTCCCTCTCTCTCCTATTTCTCTCCTTCTCTTCTGTCTCCCTCTCTCCATCTTTCTCTCCTTCTCTCCTCTGTCTCCCTCTCTCTCCTCTTTCTCTCCTTCTCTCCTCTGTCTCCCTCTCTCTCCTCTTTCTCTCCTTCTCTCCTCTGTCTCACACTCTCCTCTCTCCTCTTTCTCTCCCTTTCTCATCTCTCTCTCTTTCTCCCTCTTTCAAATCACTGCCGTTAGAATCCAGCGTCCCACTAAACCGTCCTTCCTCCACATTTCGAGACCCTCTCCTTTGGATAACTCACGTCTGTCCGCTCCCTTTCCTTATTTGGCCGGAGCTTAAACGGGTCCGAGTTTTCCCGAGCCAAAGGAAAAGCACTTAAACGCCTCGTGTTTCTCAACAGGTGAAACTTTCCGCCGTAAAAAGGAGTCAACACAAACATCCACTGTCACCGCCGTCAACACCGACCAAATGGACTTTCCACACTCCGGAATCAGATGCTATCTCCAGGAACGCCGAGTCAGAAGAGGGAAAAATATGAGCTCGGTAAATATGGAGTGATTTTCTGTAATTATTTGTTTTTCTTAATTAAAATAGTCCGATAGTATTTAACTGCGGAGAGGTAAATGAATGTCCACTCGGAGACAACTTGGCGTCCACGTAGTTTTCGTAAAAGAGGCGTATTGTGCAAAATTCACTTAAATGAGCCTTGAACAGTTTCCCTTTATCAAATTTATAATCATTTAAGTTGGATTTTGACTGATTTGTGCATGTTTGAGTCATGTTATATTGTCCTGTACCCAGTGTTGGGAAGGTCA